AAAAATTTTCGGGAGAAGGCCTACGAACTACATAGGAAATAAGGTTAAGATTTTTGGAAGTGATTGGCAAACGTAGAACAGTTTGTTGATGACAAGATTGTGATGAATATATTGTAAATGGATAGGTGTGAATAATTTTTGTAACTTTCTTTTCTCGGAGATACCTAATGAATCGTAATTATTATTGGATGGGGCAAAAATTTGATACAAGGTAAAATTCCGATACATGTGATTCCCAAGATCTCAGGTAGTTAAAGTAAGCCGATCAGGCCTCAAAATATTGGCAACGGAAGTAACTAACCATCCTCATTTATGAGACCTAAAGGCTCTTAACTATTGGGGAATCAGGCCTAAATCAAAGATTTGCCGATATCGACCTATATAGATTGTCATGCCGCAAAAAAAACGGCCACTGGATTTTAAGGCAAAGAGAAACCATGCCTAGAAAATGAATCAACTTGCTTATTGCAGGCAGCGCAAATGTCGACAGACGGGACAAAAACTCATCGTTTTAGGTTAAAATGATTAATATATATATTTATTTATTAATTACCTATAGGACTTGGAGTTAAATTGAAAAAAATGGATTCAACCAGAGTTATACAACAAATCATTAAAACAAGAATCATCTTCATTTTTTTAAAAAAGAATAAGACAAAAAATATAATAATATAATTTAAAAAAATTAATTTTTTTTTTTCCAAGAGAGAAGAAAAGAAGCCTGGAAAATTATTTGCTTATAGCAAATATTGCCCTTACTTTTTTAATAGTAAAGTGTTTTTTAAATATTTTATTTTTAGAAAATCATACTAAAATTACTGAATTTACAAAGGAAGCAAATTAAATTTATTGACATGAATGAGATTGTTCAAATTAGTTTATTTTTAAAATCCCTTATATACTATATACATATATATAATATATATTTTATTTTTTTCTTTCCGCTAATGATACTCTTCGACGTTAAAATATTGACTTTTAATTTTTAATACTATTTTTATTTTTAAAAATAATTTAATTAAAAAATTCAAATACAAATATTTTTACATTAGGAGAATATTTTTTTTTTGAAAATAGAAAGAAAGAAGCATAGTTTATTCATTTTTTTACGAGTTGGTTCAGTAATGCTCAATTTCTTCTTATAGTAAGGAAAGCACACAAAACCTTGCTAACCCCGGATAAGAACAATAAGAGGGTATCCACTAAAAATGTCTTCCTATTTCGTGTTTCCTAGTGTTGTTAAATGGCTCGACGTTTTGAACCGATTATTTTAAAAACGGCAAACTCAATAATTTTATTCCAGAAAAGTATGACGTAACCCTAAAGATTTTTCCCCATAGATGGCACCAAGGTTTGGACATCTAACCAAATTTCAAGATTTCTTAGGCTATAACCTTTCATGAAAATCTTAATTTGATTTAGCATAAGATAATTTTAACGATGCGATTAAACGTATATTACATTCATTTATATAAAAATAATAATGATTATAAAAAAAAACTAATAATAGTCATCCTTCACCAAGCTGTTGACTCAGGAATCCTTTAAATAGTTCAAAAATATAGGCTAATTATTTTGTTTGATTAAAATGTCCCCGAAATTGTTGATTTAGGGGCTCTTTTTACTGATTGGCTTTGATAAGGAAATTCGCCTCTCTTCCGGGTGAACAGATTGTTGATGCCAAGATTATATTGTAAATAGATAGGTGTGAATAATTTTTGTAACTTTCTTTTCTCGGAGTTACCTAGTGAATCGTAATTATTATTGGATGGGGCAAAAATTGCGATACAAGGTAAAATTCCGATACATGTGATTCCCAAGATCTCAGGTAAAGTAAGCCGATCAGGCCTCAAAATATTGGCAACGGAAGTAACTAGCGGTTAAATTTGATACGAATTTATTTTTTTTTAAATGATATAAGGATTTTCTCTTTTTATTGAAATTATTCTCATGAATTCTTACAATTAGATTTACCAATCACCTAGAGCTAAAAAAACATATTTAAAATGTTTCCTGTTTTCTTCCAATTTGTGTAGTATTCTAAATGATTCTCATTAATCAAATTAATATTAATCTAGGAAAATATATATAAATTCTTTCATATGTACTATATCCAAAAACCAATATTTCATATGATCATCTAAATATTTATTACCGTTTTAAATACAACTCCAATCACCTGATTTAAAAAGAAGACAATTAGTGGTAATGTAATATCTTCTCGAAAATGTAATTGAAAAACGTTCATATCTGTCAATTACCCAAATTTATGTTCTACTATATATAATATATTACAAATTTGGGTTTATTTTGGTTGGGAAGTTTGTTAAAATATGAAGCATTTTGAGGAATTCAACTATGCCAAATTCTTTAAGAGTGTAATTGCTCAAGTTTTTTTAAGCCTTAGTTTAAAAAAAAAAAATTTTCCCATTTCCATTAAACTTCGGTTCATGTCACCAAAAATTAGCATTCCTTTACTTATAGAGAATTTCCCGATATATATTTTTAAATAGAAGGCAAAATTATCTTTACATATCGCTGTAACAAACATGTTAATAATATTTAGTGATATAACCTTTAACAATAGATTGAATACTGCAGTCTCTACTTGATGCTACCTCAAAATTCTAGGGGATATTCAATAGTTCCTTTTTAAAATAATTACGACTTCATACCATCTATACTTCACATCACTCAAATTAAAATCGTATATATTAGGATATTGTTTTTTTATATGTGATTCTGTTCAGCGGGAGTTATGAAAACATGATAGATCGATGTGTAGAAGTGAGAAGAAGTTATATAAATAATGGTGACCTAATATTTAAAAGAATAATTTTAAGCCTGTCCGAACTCAGAAATATTCAGTTAGGGACTCACGGATTGCATTCAAGTTGTACGGGAATTACAATTGTTTTCGAACTAAAACTTCTATTATGAAAGCTCAAAAATAGGTAAACAACATTTTTATATTTCGTTCTCATTCCTCCTATTTTAAAGATGATACCAATTCACCTTTCCTGTTATCTGGACTTTATCCAGTTGATACGGTGAAATTATCATCAAAAACATATAGAGATATTACAAATAACAAATTGGAATTGGTTTTCTTACGGCTAAACAAAAATAACGACAGCTTTCTCTAGATAAAATAAATTACATGAATAATTAAATATTTTTTTTTAAGTCTTATGCAAAGAATATATTATTCTTCTTGCGAACAGTCCAAGGGTGTCACATCGTATTGTAATAAATTATTTCACTGGTTTTTATCTTCGCAAAAAATCTTATTCTATGTATATCATATTTGCTACAGAATTGTCTATAATTATTTGCTGTCTCTAAATTAAATGTTAGTAAATGACATAATCACCTCTTGACAAACACCTAAATTTTCAATAGAAAATAATGAAAAATTAAAAAAAAAGATAAAATTTAATTGATAAAGGAATTGACTTTTGCAGCAAAATTGAAGCTTGATTAGCAATTCTAATGAGTAGTGTTTAGGGATTTTAAACGTTTTATCCTCTAGGAAAATTAATTTTATTAATTAATTTACCACAATAAAAAATAAATTTGAATAAATATAACTCGTCATCAGTTTGAACGTATCATTACCACAAAGAAAAACAGATGTGTTAAATGTTAAACATTCCCCGTTTATCTGACCAAATTTTTTGTAAAACAATAAAAATGGCCCAAAAAATTGATTATAATTAATCATAAATTTTTTATATACATTTTTGATAACGAAATAATATAATATCGCAATGGCATTTTAAATAAATAACGATAGAAGCAATTTTTTTGAAAAAGGAGATAAACCGCGTTTCATTTTTTTAGAAAGTAACGAGTAAGGTAAGGAAGTTACATTTTTCGGACAGTAACTTAAAAAAAGGAACTTTAAATTATTAATATAACTTTTATAGCACTTATTATAATCATAAAAATTATGAGCAAACTAATATTCATAAATATTTAACATTTGTTTTTAAGATTTACTATCCAATAGAAGCAATTTTTTTGCAAAAGGAGATATATCGCGTTTCATTTTTTTTTAGAAAGTAACGAGTAAGGTAAGGAAGTTACATTTTTCGGACAGTAACTTAAAAAAAAGGAACTTTAAATTATTAATATAACTTTTATAGCACTTATTATCATCATAAAAATTATGAGCGAACTAATATTCATAAATATTTAACACATGTTTTTAAAATTTACTATCACCTTATATTGTGGATAGTGTTGTTAAAGGACTCGATTTGAGCCGAATTTTATAAAAAAACGGCTAACTCAATATATTATTTCAGAAAAAAATTGCACAAAGTCTGAATATTTTGCTCCGTGGATGGCACACAAAAGGTTTGGACATCTATTAGCGAAATCTCAAGATATCGGCAAATATTTTTCTGGCTAAATACGGAGTTAGCCGTTTATAACGACACTAATTGGTTGATATTAAAATTATCAAATTTACTATTGGAGAACTTTAAACTTTATATATTGAGAATTTACTCACAATATAAAAAATAAAATAGCTATTTTTTTTTTCATAAAATTAAAATATAATCCAATTAAAATTAGACAAGCCCTTCATGATTAGATAAAATTAATGTTGTTAAACGGCTAACTCAATATTTCACCTAGAATAATATTACGAGGTTTGGACATCTATTAGCGAAATCTCAAGATATCGGCAAATATTTTTATGGCTAAATACGGAGTTAGCCGTTTATAACGACACTAATTGGTTGATATTAAAATTATCAAATTTACTATTGGAGAACTTTAAACTTTATATATTGAGAATTTACTCACAATATAAAAAATAAAATAGCTATTTTTTTTTTCATAAAATTAAAATATAATCCAATTAAAATTAGACAAGCCCTTCATGATTAGATAAAATTAATGTTGTTAAACGGCTAACTCAATATTTCATCTAGAATAATATTACGCGAGCCTGAAGATTTTGTTTGTAGAAGGAAACAAAGGTTTGGACATCTATTAACAAAATCTTGAGGGTTAGGCAATATTTTTCTGGCTAAAATACTGAGTTGCCGTTTAACGACATTAGATAGAATTAAGCCGAGTCTATAAATACATAATATAAAATTACATTTTAATGATTCAATTCAGATAGTTTTTTTTTAAAAAAAAGGTGGATTTTCCGAAATTTTCCTTCAAAGTAGTAAATTTTACATGAACTTTAATCGTCGCTAATTCTGAAATCTTAAATACAAAAACAATAATTATTATTCCGTAGTCCATAGATAGATAGAATTGCTCGAAGCTGTCAGTAAATGGTTTTTGGTGGGATGAGCCGAAAGGGAGGCTACGACCTTATTTGCCTTAAAATTATCTGTTGCCCCGTGATCCAGTTTAGCTTTCAGTGTCGACTTAAAGGAGAATAAAAAAAAAGTAAATATAAAGTTTAGCCAATATTTCATAAGATTCAAGCAATTGAGAATATTTAACATCAATTTAAAAAATTGGGCATGCACAATAACCTTATATTAATCAGAGACCTGAAGAGATAGTGATACTATTTTCATGGTCCGGTCCAGTTTTTAAAAAAAAAAATTATTTCCAGTCCGGCCCGAGTATTATAATTTCAGGCACGGCTCAGATCCTTTTTGGACCAATCCGGTTTTTTTTAAAAATTATATTACGTGTATTTTTTTTATTCTCATAGCTAAAAATGGCGATATAAAATAACGGCCCGGGTATATCTAAAAAAAATTAAAATGGCCGGGCCAGGGTCTACAGCTCTCTGATATTAATAAGAGAATTTCCTATATCTCATGGGAATCATTCGATCACGAGATCATTACAAATAGAGTCCTTGCACCTTATCATGGCCTTTTAAATGAGTATAAATTTGATAATCCGGAAAAGAAAAAAAATGGTATCAAAATCTTAGTTTAAGCATAGACCTTATAAGGAAAGTAATGATTCTGAATATAAATAATTTTTTTTAATCGGTTCGGATACTCAGATTTAATGTCGCTTCGAGGGTTTCAGTTTCAAGCTCTGCTCAAAATTTTATTAGTGTAAAGGATTTACTTCCAAAAGATCCCAGCAATAAACGTAGCCTTCTTGGCTGCCCGAAAAAGCTAATTCATCGTCGAAGCTCAAACAATTATCTATCTGAAATTGAGAGCCCTTAGGAACTGCTTTAGAATCTAATTTTTTTTTATTATTATTAATAAGAATAATAACTAATTATCGTTTTCGCCAGAGAGAGAGAGATGTTTTTCTTTAAAAAAACACTCACTCCTGTAAAAATTGATGTGAGTGGAGTTAGAACTCTATAATAATCAAGCAGATATATGTATATTATATAATATATCACCATTCCCTTTCAATTTTATTTTCTTGCCCATATCAACTTCATGTTATTATTTAGCTTTAAACCTAATCGTAAACTTTATTTTAAATCTGATTTTAATCCCAACTCAACTTCTTGGGAGGGTGGGGGGGATAGAGGAAGGTAGCTAAGCATGAATACATAAGAAAGGGTCAAATATCATCTAACATAAGTAGCTAGTTCGATGAACAATAATTATGTTATTCTCGAAGCGAAATCACCTTCCTTTCCGTGGGTAAAGTACTCCGCCAACAATTTTCCGTCGGTCGTATCTATCAAGAAATGTTTTCCTTCCAGGACGGACACCAAAACGCACTTGAAATTTTCGCCCTTTACGTCCGTTTTGTTGGTGTGGTCGATGCTGGAAATACCTTGAACGCTAATTTCAGGGAGAATAAAATTGTTAGGGTATGGGCGATTATTGTGGGATATTAAAAAAAAATTCTAGATATTTTGTAAAATTCTTGAATTTCCTTTCCTTCTTCTCTTCTCTTCTTTTCTTCTCTATTAATTAAGAAAATTCTAGACGAAAAGAGGCGTAATATTTGCTAAAATTACCAAAAAAATTCCTAATCAATATTTCTCTTTTAATTTTTATAAATGGAGAGAGAGAGAATTATTGGGTTTATCTTTTTTAAATCTTTAGTTTTTTTTTAACTAACCTTAAGGAATCGGTTTCTACCCGACCGTTCCTTATATCGTAACGACGTAGACAACCGTCAGCGGAGGCGGTAAAAATTTCGTAACGGCTCACTTTTATGGCCGTTACGCTATCGCGGGCCTCTTTGAGTATCTATATATATATTTAAAAAAATAAATTTGGAGATAATAATTAGATAATTTCAATTTTAAATCAATTGAACGTTCCCTTTTTAACAACTTGAGCGATTCGATTAACGGTGGTGCTCAAAATAAAAAGGTTCATGATAGTGTTTGTCCGATTCGGGTATACCTAAAACGAATTATTTGTTATTCGATTCGGTACGAATAAGTATAATGAATTATTCAATAACGAATACGAATAACGAATTATTCTATTTAAACGAATAACGAATTATTCTTAAACGAATAACGAATTATTCGATTTAAACGAATTTTAATAGATTCGAATAGTATTTTTGTAGGTATAGATTCGGGTCTATTTAAAAAAACGGCTCGATCAAGATTGTAACTGTTAAAGATAAAAAAAAGTTTTTCTTTAAACCCCCTCTTTTATTATGTGTAAGATGTAAAAGTTTTTTTATCCCCCTCTTTTGTTTATGTTAAAATTAATTAAAGTTTTTTTTTATCCATCTCCTTTGTGTACCATAAAATGAAAGTTAAAAAAATGTTTTTCTTTTTTTTGGTAATTTTTGTTTTAAGTTAAACACAGTGAGATTAACACATATGGCTTTTGTGTTTTCTCTCACTTTACTGGATTTCTTACTTTAGGAGTCCTCAGTAAGGTGATCCGAAAATATGAGTTAGACCGTTGGGTCCGGGAGACCACCCTGCATCCCAAGGTATATTTTGAGTTTCGGGAAGTTTAGGGGGGTAGGTTTTATCCCCAATTATGTACGATAAAACTAACACAACTCGATTCCACAAAAACGTTCTTTTTTTCACTTTGCGCCAATTTAATTTTAATTTATAATTGCGCCTTTTATTTTCCCTATAAAAGGGACGAATTTTTTATAGTTTAGGGATACTTTATTTTTTCCTGTAAAATAATTTTGAAAATCTTTATTAATCCTTTTTATGTTTAAAATAATGTTGATTTTTTTATAGTTTATATATATCTGATTTTTCTTTTTGTAAAATAATTTCATGATATTAATAAAACGATAAATTAAACAATAATGTCTACGACTCGTTCTCAAAATACTTCAGTAACCAAGATAACCTCATGTAAGCCTGAAGATTTTGCAATATAGCAAGCAGAAATACTCTGACATCTACTTGCCAAGTCTCGATGCATAACATGAATGACTAGTTTAGCTAAAATCTTAAGTGGTCCGTTCTGAAAAATCGACCGGGCTTATTAACATCACTAGGTGTCATGATAAGTTTAAGGTTTAAAAAATAATAATATGGTTTTTGTTTCTTAGGGAATTCTGATATATTTATATTAATATTTTTGTTAAAATGTAAAATATAGAAAGATAAGACAAAACTTCGGATATCATATTTGATAAGGAGTATGAGTACACAAATATTAAAAATAAATAGTTGGAAAAAAAAAGGTCATCATTAGAAGGTTGGATTGAAATTTAATACATATGAGGTTTGGTCTGATAATTAAATAGTAGCTTTAAATTTTTTATATATTATATATAAAGTGTGTAATAAGTTTCTGCAATTGCTGGGTATTTCAGATGGTCAAACCGGTATCTTAAAAAAAATTCTAATCCTCCTTCTCAACTCACTAGGAATTATAATATAGAGCTGTATAATTAAGCAAATCGATAGCCATTATTCATTTTTTTTAAGTAAAAAAATATCAATATAGATAGCACTATGTCTAAAAATAATTGCAAATTTTAATTTTATTTTGGCATAATATTGTTTGTGGATCAACCTGTTCCATCCAACCCAAATTTCAATATCATCACCTGGCATAGGATCTACTCCGATTCAACATTTATTCAAATATATATTGTATGAACAATCTTATTAAACTTCACTCCAACCATCCAAGTTCAATCTGAAAATTCAAGCCAACTCCGAAAATAAAAATTATGAAAATAATATGATGTATTTACAGTAGAAACATATAAAAGTGCTGAAAACGAATATAGAAAAAAGTATCATGTCCAGAAAAGCAAAATAATAACTGAAAATCTAATGAAATCAATAAAATATGACATAGTAGACTTGATTTTAAAAGGATCCTAAGATTTCTTTTTTGTTATTTACTAAATTTTTAGATCTTGGCATAAATATTTTTCATTAAAAAAACTTTCATAAAACTCCTTTCTAATAAAATATTTATTTGTAGTATTCCCTTTTTAAATAATATAGGTATATAGCAATTTCGATATGTCTACAATAGGTAACTGTTATTAAATTGAGAGTCAAAATCTTTTTGATTATATGATAGTACACAATCTCCTCTAAATTTATCTTATTTTTTGCGTGAAAGTTTAGTATGATAGTAGAATTAAAGGGGAGGAGGGTGGGGGGGGGGGGGGGGTAGGGTGTATCAAGTAATTTATCGATGATAAATTAATGAATAAACAGATATATGTTATATTTTTAATTTATAATAATATTTTTATTAATAGTTTTACATGATTATTGTTCTCAATTTAAGTAATACCATGACATTGAAGAATTCAAACCAACCCCACCCATACTGCTCATCACTAGATATGAAAAATGTATCAATGAAAGATTTGGGCTGATTCCTAACAAAAATAAGAAGAAAATTAGAGAAAAAAATGTAATCTCAAACAAAACAATATGAAAGCATTATGTGAACATATATTATATGATGATGCCTGAATATGTTAAAAAAAATGATGTAATTAAAAAATAAAATTTTCCAACTATTTCAAAAGAAAAAAAATCATCCATTTGACTGTTGCCACTAGCTTGGACCATTTAAGAAAATTGAAATGGAGTTCAAAGCTAAAAATTAAGTAAGAAAATAATAAAAAAAAAAACTAGTATAATAATTGATCAAGAAAGGGTTAGTATATTAGAATTTTTCCATTGTTTTATCAGCTAAATGATTGGAAATTTTTAATACTGCTAAATATAAAAAGATTAAATTTAAACAATTTAAAAGAATTATATACCAGACTTAAAAGTTGGTTTCCCAAAATTGTGAGTTAATATCAAATATTGAACATTGGATACTCATTATTACATAGAATTTTAAGGGCTACAAAATAGTATGTAAGTTGATATTTTAGAATAAATATTTTTGGGAAAAATAACAAATTTAAATTACAATTCTCAACTTTAGAGGTATGGGGCACTAAAATAAATTCCAGATAAAATTATATATAAAGATTATATTCTTATATTTTGTTTGAATTATTAAGCGAATATAAGAATATATTTAACTTGGATCTCAGATTTATTATAGCTCTTAATATCCCATATTCTGACAGAAGAATCAATTGAACCAGATAGTAAAACAGAAGAATCATCATTAAATGTAACACAGTTTACTCTCCCTAAAATTTAAAGATTTAGTTAGATACATTATATTTATCAAAACCTGCATGCCCTCTAAATTTTCTTAACACTTTTCCTGTTGCTACATCAATACATCTAACGTTTTTATCCATTCCACAGCACGCAAATTTACTATTATCTTGAGACGCTCGAACATCTAGTGATTCAAAACCCTGGCCTTCATAAGTTTTAATTTTTAAATTCTTGTAAGGATTCCATAATGCAATAGTTTTATCACTACCAGAAGTTAAACAATAATTACCATCAGCTGTTCAAAAATCACTTTAATAATTAGTGATTTCATAAAATAATATTAATCTTACCACTATATCTAACAGCTCTAACTAATCCTTGTTGACACTCGATAGATGTAAACAATTTATCAGGGGCAGTCATTATTTTTCAAAGTATATGCCAATTTAAAAAATATAATTGTTGAAAAATTCTATGGTGTTGTAATACATAATACCTAATATATGATAGATGTCAATCACACATGGACATATAATTTATAAGTAACTATAATCAGAATCAAATAAAGTTGAAATATAATTAATTGTATATAAAAAATTTTTCATTTTTTTCATTAATTGGTGACATATAAACTAATTCTGATTTGTTCGTGGGATTGGTATATTTGCATCACTAGGCAACATCCATCTTTAGAAGAATTATAATTTTTTGTCATATTAAATTGCAATGTTCCTGTCTATATTTTTTTTAGGTTTTTTTTCAATAGCCACTATTTGATTATTCAAGGAATTATTAGATTATTTTTGGTTTTTACTAATTTTTATAATTAATTATAGAATTCTAAATATTTTTTAATATATTTAATATTACAACCGTTTTTATTATAAAAACAAATCATTTCTGAACCCCTAGAACAACTGAATATTATAAAATTTAGATAGGCTTTCATTCTATAAAAACAACTCTTTTAATAAGGGATTGAGAAAGAACGAGTGGGATATCACAAATCTTGACGATAATTTTCAAAAACATATAATTCGACCCAGTCTAGAGAAAACACTTCTCGAAATAATAAGTTTAATCATTTAAAAATATTATCCAGTTCTTAATGAAAAAAATACATATTGCGAAATACTATAAGACAAAAAACAATATAAGATATATCCGAAATAGTGCTTCCCAACCTTTTATGAAATTGTAGAATATTCTTTTAAAATTAATATAATAAATAAAATAAAATTATTCCTAAATATTAAATTATATTCAGTTATTATACCTACATCTAGGAGGGATGATTAATAGATAAGTTAAATTATTATTTTCAAAACATTTATTTATAATTATTTTTTGAATCTAAAATTTTGCTTTTCTCGTAGGCGCCGCCAAATATTAGGATAGTCTGTAGTGTGTAGGGATCAATGACATATATAATACCTAGACTGACAATTCATTCATTAAAAGTGTACATAAATGCAAACCAGCTGGAGACGAGACGCCATTTTGGTTACACTAATCATTATTAAAATTTTAAACGAGGGCCTAATTTATTCCTATATCTGATGCAAACTTTATTAAAGAATTACCGGATCCTCGAGATAATAAGAAAGCAAGTTATCAAATTAATAGTAGTTTTTAACATGAGAATAATTACTATATGTGTTACCAAGATGGCGGGTTCAGCTGATTTGCTTTTAACGACGCTTAAAAATACATTTTAATGAATAAAGCTTCAGTCTAGGTAATATATATGTCATTGGTAGGGATTTAATTTTTTTAAATATAATTCTAGACCAAAAAATTATCCCTTCTGTATTCTTAAACCCACATCTTCCCTTAAAATGAATTAAATATATTATTTTAAATAATTATAAAGCTCAGTTCAAGCGTTGTCAAAATCTAATTTTTACTATTTCGATTAAGTAAATCAGCCTGCTATTATTTACCACTAAGGAATATATTAAACTATTTTAACTACTCAATTTTGTGTCAAATCAAATATTTCGTTGTCAAAAAGTCTGGTTTTTACTATTTCGATTAAGTTCAATTTTTTTTCTTGAATCAGCCTGCTATTATTTACCGCTAAGGAAAATATTAAACTATTTTAACTACTCAATTTTGTGTCAAATCAAATATTTCGTTGTCAAAAAGTCTGGTTTTTACTATTTCGATTAAGTTCAATTTTTTTCTTGAATCAGCCTGCTATTATTTACCACAAAGGAAAATATTAAACTATTTTAACTACTCAGTTTTGGGTCAAATCAAATATTTTTAAATTAAAAATACTATGATCTAAAAGAATCAACTATTCTGATTTGACGATTTTGAAATTATAATGGTTAGTCTTCTATTTTAATAGTATCATATGTTAAACTATTTAGATGTAAACATGGAATTTCGGTTTAAATAACTGGAGAGATGCATTGCATTGATATCATCATAAAAAGATATATCGGCGATAAAAATGCTACTTAAGCTCATTTTTTGATTTTTAAAACTATGATTATTTTAGCATTAAGTCTTTTAAATTATTGCTATTTTACTTTACGGTTTCTATGTGTAGGGGAAATCGTTTTCTTAATCCCCTTTTAAATTTTAAGAAGCAGGTAAGGCGGAAACTTTCCGGAAGTAGATGACTTGTCTACCATATTTAAAAAAATGAATCATATAAAAGTAAGGACAAGATCTTGTGGTGTTAGAAAAAAATTTAATATTGTATTTTTATAAAAATGGGTAAAAGATAAAATACGAGCTGTAAATTTTAAATTATAAAAGAAATAAATTATCGTTTATATCTTTAAAAGTGTTATTTAAAAAAAAATTTTATGTAAATAATTATACATTTAAAAATATATAGAATAAACTATTCTAAAAATACTGAATTTTTATTTACTATTTTTTAGAGATGAAGAAATATTTCTCAATCACTATCTGCAGATGATATCACTTAGAATTTGCCTCGAATCCAAAAGTGAATAGCATTCGTTATTATTCTAATTCCAAGTTTATACTTTTGGGGAAAAATCTATGTTCCTTGTTCATGAGTGGTAATGGTAAAAAAAAATTCTCTGGAAGTGCGCTACATTCAATACACCGTAGTAAGTATCAATACTCATATTAAAATATTTGCTGAAAAAAATAATGTTAAGTCTTGAATGCATAAAAAACCGGAAAAAAAACTACACACTATCGCGATTGGTGGTTAAACGGCTAACCGGATATTTTAACCAAAGATGTTATGCCAGCATGGGCATCTTGCTCATAGATAGCAGAATGGCTTGCGAATCTATTAACGAAATCTCTTACTTATTTTTTTGACTAAAAATATTGAATTAGACATTTTTTTAAAAAATTCTAGCCGTTTAACAACGCTAATCGCTGTTACTTAAGATAATTACAAAATATATATAGAATTCGCTACAATAATCATTTTCTCCATAAAAAATGGCGTCCTAACTACCAACGTCACCATTTATCTAATAAGGAGAATATCCTTTGTCAAAATTTATTATTAATCTAGTGAGGTATTATTTTGTCAAATAATATGGCGGGGGAAAAACCCACGAGCTTATTTAAAAACATGTGTTTAGAGCTCTGGGTTAGCATTTTTTTTCCTATTTTTTAATCCAGGCCTTTGACTTTTTTAGATCTTTCTATCGGACCGGGCCTAAAGGTCTATAGTAATTTATAAATAAATGTGTCCAAAATTTGTATTTTTTTTTAAAGTTTGAAAACTTATATAACTATAAGGAAAGACTAACCGTTTAAAGTTACGAAAATTTTTCAAAATCTAGACTAGTCACGTGTGTTTCAGTGCAGGATTGAGAAAATTCAGTCATAATATTTTAATAGACCCTATAAAAAAACCAATTTTTTTTTATGATATATGGCTAATTTTTATGATCATTATATTTTATTATTTTATGCTAAATTAAATCTATAAATTTGAAAATAAAACCTTTTTTTTTCTAGTATGAAAATATAACTAATAATTTTTTTTTTAAAGGTGAAACTATGTGGGAAAAACGCTACCCCCTATCTAACGGTAGATTCCAGTCCCCAATCAACATAATCACCAATAAGGCTCAATACGATCCTTACTTGGACAAGGAGAATCCTTTGACGTTTTCCTACAGAAAACTTCGCAATTTCGACATTCTGAATGACGGAACGACGTTGAAAGTGAACCCTATTATCAAGGATCTAGGTATAATTTTTTAATATCTTGCTCATAAAATTTTCTACTTTATATATAAATCCTATATATTTTAAGGGTTGGGAAAATTTTCAAAAAAAATGTATTTTAATGACAAGCGGGGAAACTCTTGCCCTGAGAATGGACTTGATAGTAGTCTCTCTTGTCGTCGGTAGTATTGTAATAATATTTTGGAATGTGAACAAAGTCTTTTATTGTTAACTATTGAAATAACAAATTTTATAATGTAAAAGGTAAACTGATTGTATTTTATAATATAAGATCTCTTTTTATGTAAATATATATCATATAAAATAACGTTTTCTATATCCAATTTACACAATACAAAAGTTTAATTTAATATATCACACGATCGCCTTAAACCTTCATTATCTAAAATGAAAAGGTATATTAAACACAATAAAAAATAATTCGTTACGAATATGTAGCATATTTAAAAATAATGAGATAAAAAACCTTTGTATATCAAGATACGAATATGTAGCATCGTTATCTGGATAAATTTATATATTCTGATATGTATCTAGTTACTATCTTAGAGGTGCCTTTTTCTATACTCTTTAAAATACATTTGAATATAATTTATTTTACGTTGTTTTTTTTTATATTAAAAATAATAATATTTGAAATTAATTCCTTTAAGAATAATTCCGAGATTATTTCATTACAAGAACAATCCAGGCAAATATTATTTTAGGCACAGCAACGGCGTTCATATAAAATAAAATCTTATTTATAATACACAAGCTTTTGCCAAGGGGGGAAAAAAAACTCAATTTTTATATTTTAAAAGGGAATTTACAATTGATTCTTTTTAACACATCCTTATCCCCCATATAGTTATCGTATTACATGTGCGCCACCTTGTGGAATAAATATCATAAAAATTATATTTTCTAGCGAAAATTTGAAAGAAAAAATGGATCCCAAGTTATGATCCATCTATTATTTTAGTAATTTTTTTTTTTTTAGTTGAGAGCCTATTCCAAGGTACGTTTAACTTAAATAATATTAATATTGGTAAATATATTTTGAAAAACCATTTCCGTCTTTATTAAAATGAGTTGTAGGGGGGGATAGGGGTGTTCTTCCAGATAATTCTGTTAAAAAATATCTTTATAAATATGGAAAATTATTTGTAATTAACAGAGTTGTTAAAGGATCTAGATACAAGTATCTAGATCCTGTATCTAGATATAAAAATGTGGTATCTGTATCTGTATCTAGAGAGATTTTTGATTAAATAATCTGTATCTAGATATTATTTTAGACGTTGTATCTGTATCTAGATCCATTTAAAAAGTATCTTTTAACAACTCTGGCAATTAATAAAAAAAAATTTTCATTATCTTATATGGATTAATTAAACTTTTGTTGTTATTGACAGAAATAGCCGGGGGTCCATTGCTCAATAAATATCAACTGCATCATTTCCACTTTCATTGGGGTTACGAAAATGGCAAGGGCTCAGAACACCGAATCAATGGAAAGTCTTACGATGCGGAGGTTATATTAATTATGCAAAATATTTTTGGGCATAACTGAGATGATTAGGGCTTACTTCTCGGAGTAAACGCCCATCATAAGGAATATAATGTTATAATATCATTATGCTGGCAATGTACCTTATGATAGGAGTTTTGTGCATGATCTTACCCTTTAAATTCAGACAATTTGATAAGATATAGCACATATTGCTTACACACATTTGCCCTATAATATATATATACATATGTGTCGTATTGGGATATGGAATCCATATGTATTCAGAATTTCTCAATTTTACATCATTTTTACAAAGGCCATATTTTAAAAATTTTAAAAATCTTATTTGATCCTGAAAAGTATTCCATCATGTATAAAATACCTTTATAAAAAATTTCAAATAATCTTTGCCCATAAACCTTTGAGTATTTTTTTATAAAAAATTTATATAAAAAGGGATACATATTTAAAGTATTTTTATAGTTCTACACAAAATTGTTTAAAATTCATAGTGCGGGCATTTTCTGGATTTAAAAAATTACTTTATATAAATGATTCAAAATTGATGGATCACTAAATCCCAATGAATTTCGTATCCCAAATACGACATATATATACGGTTATTTTGTTTTTTTTCTTCTTCTTCAGATGCACTACGTTCATTGGAATCATACAGAGTCAGAAACTATAGAAGAGGCCAGCAATTATTATCAAGGTTTAGCAGTAGTTGGCGTTTTCATAAAGGTATGAACTTAATTTTCAGCATCTATCATTCAATTTTACAAATTCGGAGTAATCTTAAGACCGATTTCTATATTATGATATGAATTTAAAGCCGTATAATAACAAGTTAGCGAGATTTCGCGATTTCTACAAATTGCCTTCTTTGCCGTGAATTAGCGGTTAACTATGAATGAGGGATAACGCGTATATTAAAAAAAAAATAATATAGTGTCATGGTGCCATGTAGAGCACCATTATGATTATGTCTAGTATTTAAAAAAGGTTATTCATTACTTAAACGAAACGTATTTGCTAATAAGAAATGTAGACATAAAGAAATATTTATATAGTTTATATAATAAAATATCTCTCGTCAGAATTTGAATGGTTACGGTACAATATAAAAAATTTTAAAGAAAAAGATTAGTTAGGAGCAGAGTTGTTAAAAGATACTTTTTAAATGGATCACAGATACATCGTCTAAAATAATATCTAGATACAGATATTTTAATCAAAAATCTATCTAGATACAGATACCACATTTTTATATCTAGATACAGGATATAGATACTTGTATCTAGATCCTTTAACAACTCTGGTTAGTAGTAATGTGTTAAACGGCTCCATTTGACAGATTTTTAAAAACTGCTTATCCAGATGAATATTACGCAAGCCTAAAAATTTTGCTCATACCTGCATCGAATGTCTAAACAATCTAATAGCGAAATCTTGAGGCTCAGGCTATATTTTTCTGGCTAAAATGTCGAGTTAGTCGTTTAAAATCGGCTCAAAACGAGCCCTTTAACGGCACACTAGTTAAGGAGAGCTACATATTCAAATATTATATTTCTAATTATAAACATAAATATATAAAAATAAAGAACAAATTAATAATCAAATAATCCAACATAATCCTAAAAATAAATATAGATGGCAGTAAAAAAATAATGTCGTAGTTTTCTAAACCATATTCCAAGTTTTTCCTATTTTTTTTTTTTAAATTTAAATATAAATAATTCTTTTTTTTAAAAAAAATAAAATATAACATAAAGCCAATTAGTGTTGTTAAACGGCTCGTTTTGAGCCTATTTAAAAAAAACGACTAACTTCAATATTTCATCCAGAAAAATAGTTCGCAAGCCCGAAGATTTTGCTCATAGAAGGAACGAAAGTCTAGACATATAAGTATCGAAATCTCGAGGATTAGGCAATATTTTTCTGGCTAATATATTGAGTTACACTAAAGCCAATTACATCAGCTTCAAATGGTAGTCTAGTAGCCAAAGAGCTATCCTAGACCCTTTCTACTTGTTATTTTTTAAAATTTTTCATACATATTCCCTTTGTTCCCATTTTATTATAGACTTTATTTTAGTGTTGTTACGATTTTTAAAAACGGCTAACTCAACATTAAAGCCAGGAAAATATTGCCTAAGCGTTGAGATTCCGCCAATAGATGTTCAATACTATGTGCCATCTATGAGCAAAATCTCTAGACTTTCATAATGTTTCTTCAAAATATTGAGTTAGATGTTTTTAAATGAGCCGATTAAAATCAAACTACTTTATTTATACGTTCATATATATTCATTATCTGTTACTATTTTAATTTTTGATATTATAAATGATGCAAAAATGCAGAGTTGTTAAAGGATCTAGATACAAGTATCTAAATCCTGTATCTAGATATAAAAATGTATCTGTTTCTGTATCTAGATAGATTTTTGATTAAATAATCTGTATCTAGATATTATTTTAGACGTTGTATCTGTATCTAGATCCATTTAAAAAGTATCTTTTAACAACTCTGCAAAAATGAAAAACAAGTTTTTAAAAATAAGGAAAGATAATTTAATTATTTTTTTTTTAAATTAATATTTTTACAAAATTTTTTTAAAATTTATTTGAAAATTGAAATTAAAAGCAAAAAAAAAAGAAATTGGAAAAAAATAATTTAAAAAACATCGTTTTTAAAAAAATTGTTTTTTATTAATGGTTTTGGAAATTTTGTTAGATAAATTTATTTTTTTTTAAAAATAAATATTCACAAACTTTGATATATATTTTTTTTTATTTGAACTTAGGAAAGTTAATTTTCTCGGCTATTTGTATCTTGTTTAAAATTATCGGGTCGATACTTATATTGTTAGATACTTTTAATCAATTGATGCTTTTATATGATAATAAATCTCTTTTTTTTCCTAAAAATAAAACTCTAATTTATAGATAGGTGAAAAGGGACAAGAATTCGATAAAATTATCAATAATTTAAAATTCGTTAGAAATTACAGAGAACACAAATTGGTGAAACAAGATCTGGACATTTTCAAATATCTTCCAAGTACTACAATTTATAAACTAGTAACTAAGGAATAACATCAATAAAAAATATATAATTTTTTTAAATGTAAGAAGATTTAACTCAGTATTGGACTTATCCAGGGTCCCTAACAACACCGCCTTTCTTGGAAACGGTAACGTGGATATTGTTAAAAAACGCCATCGAAATATCTCGTTCTCAGGTCAGGGGTATGAATATGATTATTATATTTTAAAACACTAAAATTTTTTACTAGAAGATTTATCTGGCTACCCGGAATAGAGGGGTGGGGTGGGGATTTGATAAAATATAATTTGCGTTTTTACGAAATTTATATATCTTCAGACATCAGAGTTATTTAATAGTGGTGCTGTATGGTAATTTCGAAAAATAATCTAGTATATCAGCTCCGGGATCGTACAAACGTGCTGGGGCAATGAAGGAGGCGGAGCCAATTACTTCCGTTTAAAAACGCAAATAATCCGTTTTAAAATGAATTCGTTTAAATTGGACAGCATTTTGTTTTTTGTTTTAAATTTAGAGATTTCATATTTATAAAAATAAATAAAAATTAACGTTTCAATTTAAACATAGCTGCGTTTACGTTATTTCGCATTCGCGTTTTAAAACGCTGCGTTGAAACGTTCAATTTGTGCGGACTCTTAAGAAAGTGAGAACTCATTATTATTTTAAAAAAATGTAACATAGCCTAAAGGTTTGCACTGGGTGAACTTAATGTTCTCCAATAAAATTTATAGGGAAAAAACCTAACGCAAATGATGCTACCTCCTCCTTTTACCAAAACTTGGGCATGCGAATGCTAACCATCTATGTATGGCCTACTTTAATATAAAATCAACAACAATTTTATTAAAACTTTTAAATTTTATAAAAATGTATATATAAAATAATAGCGTTTTTTTTTTAAAAAAAAACTAATTAACTTCTATATTACTTATATCTTTAGCAAAAAAAAAATTCTTATCTGGCAACCTTTATATAGTTTACTGTAGTGATCTGCATTGAGACTAATTTTTCAAGTCCGGTCCGGCACAAAAATTTGTTCCGTTTAGCCCCATCTCGAATTTCTTTTTTTATTTGTCCGCCCGAGCCGGTCCGAATTTATTTAATTATAAAATTGAGTTCGGGTCGGGTACGGGCCGGGCGGCGATTTGCGGATCTCTAGTTTAACTCCAAATCCTTATTTTTTTAAAAAAAAAATAAAAGCTCGGTGAATTATTTAATCTATACTCGGGCGATATGAGTCACGAAGGTCTCTGCCATCATATGCGCAACATATTCCGAGATCCACAGCCCATGAATGGTCGAATAGTGAGGAAATCGTTCCACTGAAGAAAAAAAAATGTAGGATTCTAAGAAGGGAGTGCGTACACAAAAATGCATTAGAAATATCAACTCTTTTTTCCTTCTACAGAACCGAACATGATTAGTGGAAAATTGTCACAAAAATATCAAATATTTTATTAGATTTTTTTTGAACTATAAAATGATCAAATTTTAATTCATCGAATATTTATATTCTAAATCACGATTCAATCCCTTGTTTTGTTTTTCATTATCATTTTTTTCTTATTAATTTTAAGAAAAAGATTTTGGCTCGTTATAAAAAATAACCCATCATTGTGCTTAATCTGTGTTTGTAATTGTTATAATTCACTTATTAGACATAGAAAGCCTTAAAATTTCTTATCATTGAACAAATTATTGTGATTCTTCCTTCTGGGACTTATCCCTTTACCCTGATAAAATTAATATCAGCTATTTCAACAAAAAACCTATTGTTTTATATATATTTTGTACATTTATTTATAATAACCCAAATAATTTATATAACCAATTATAACTTAGTAGAAAACACACCATTTTTTATATTTCATAACGATGCATGAAAAACTGTAAATTACGATATTTATATATATATTTTTTTAAACTTTATATTATATATATAAGTATATAGATAATATATTTGTCACTAAAAAAAAATTAAATTGTTTTTCGCGATTAATTTCATTCCCTATATTTTAATAATTGTCAGGAGTTGTGTTGTTTCAATTTTTTAGCCAGAATTTGCTTAAGCCTGAAGAATAATATATGTCTAAACTTTTATTCCTTCTACGAGCAAAATCTTCAGGGTTGCCTATAATTTTTATGGATAAAATACTGAGTTGTTTTTAAAAATCGGCTCAAAACAAGTCGTTTAAAAACATTACTCAGGAGATCATTTCCGAAAAATAGGGATTTAGCAAAAGTGTTTATAATATTGTTTGAAACGGTGATTTCATTATTAAATAAGGGGGGGGGGTTATATTTATTGTTGAAATATTTTTTTTTGACTTGCTTTTAAACAGAGTTTCGAAAAAACAGTCATCTTAAAAAACAAAGAAGTAGAAGATAGTAATTTTTTTTTTATCATAAAATATTATCGGGGTGAATAATAAGTAAGCATTTATCAAACAAAACAGAATTATAGTTTTCTCATTGACATAAAATTATACCTAGACTGACGATGCATTCATTAAAAGTGTACAGCAAAGAAAACAGCTGGGGACTCCATTTTGTTTACCCATATCATTATCAAAAATTTTAAACGAGAGGCTAATTTATTCCTATGTCTGACGCAAGCTTTATTAAAGAACTGCCTGATCATGGAGATAATAAGGAAGCAAAGTTATCAATTTAATAGTTATTTTTAACATGAGAATAATTAACTATATATGAGTTACCAAAATGGCGGATCCAGCTGACTCGCAGTCAACGCTGCTTTTTAAATGCATTATTATGAATGCATCGTCAGTCTAGGTATTATTATATGTCATTGAGTTTTTTCCAGAGAGAAAACTTAACACAAATTTTTTTTTTTGATGTGGATATTAGTGGCTTCAATACATGACTACCCTACCCGGGTAAGGTTTGAAAACTATTTTTTAAACCGGACCTAAAAGTAGAGATGCCCGGCCCGCTTAATAAGAGATTTGAGAATATAAAAAAATTGTTCTAAAGTTTAAATTTTGTTAGAAATAATATTATTTTTTGTATTGGCTTATAATTATAAAGTGATTATACTTATTATTACGTTATTTTTTTATATAAAATTTAAACAATATTTTTAATCAATATCAAAACCAATATTCAATATTTCTTTTTTTTCTCCATGTCATTAAGTTAAAAACAATTAATAATATATTGACAGAAATAGGACATATCGTAATGTAACAGAACTCACTTGATGAATTCTGACAATAGAAAACAATAATTCATAAAGCTTAGTGTTTTTTTTAAATTTTACCACTCTCCAATATTGTAAATAGTTGTTTATTTTATTTATTTCGACTACAAATATTTCATAATTAGGCATATTTTTTTTAAAAAAACCGTTCGAATTATAAAAATCCGGCCCGAGAAACTTTAATCTGTTCGGGCACCCTTATAAAAAATTTGCCGGGCCGGACCAAAACCAAATTAACACTGGGCCGGGTTTGAGAATTTTGCCATTTGCAGACAGGCAGAGATAGAATGATATTCCATGTTTCAAATTAAAAAATAGAATGAATAACATGAATTAATAGAAATGAAGAAATGTCAAAATGGCAAACTGAGCCCTTCGTTAACCATGAAAAAAAAATTGCCCTCGTGGAGTTTTTTGAAAAACTATAAAACTTTATTCAATCCAATCTAATCTATAATTGGATTGATCCACCTGAAAATTATTGAAACTGGGAAAAAACAATCTTATTTAGATTCAAATATAGGGCGAAACTTATATTATATATCAGATTTTTACCAAAATGCAATGAATTGATGAAATGAATTATTTTCATTACAAAATTTATTTATTATAAAATTAAAATTTATTAAGTAATTAAATTCTATTAATAATCAAATTATATATTTGTAGATACACAATCTTTATTTAATTTCAATTAATTATATTAACTGTATAAAAAAAATCATGGCCAATATATAATTGATAATTTTTTCAGCAAAAAATTATGAAAACAAAGCACAAAATTGACAGTTCTTCTAATATCGGCAATTAAATCTAATCTTTATTTACATATTCATTAGTAATTTAATAAATCCACTCCTACCTAACTCAAGCATCTTAAAAATATCCAAGCACCCTAAATGTATACCTACACAGGTTATCAAAAAAGAAACAGAATTTATCTTAATTTAATATTATTTTAATAACCAAATATATGACAAAATTTATTTTTAACATTAGTAAAAAAAATAATTTTTATTATAGTTAACAAAAAATATTGATTCTTATTGAAATAGTGCACTTCAAAAATTCCTGATTTTACCAAGAAAAAGGTTTATCAATCATCAGTGATATGATAACTAATCTGATCAAAAATAATGCAAAATTTTGTTTAAATATTTGTTTAGGCAAAATTATATAGCTATTATTAAAAAAACAACTGATCAAAATAACTGATATTAATCAAAATTTTAAAGAATATGGGTAATGTTGTTAAACGGCACGATTCGAGGCCAATTTTTAAAAACGGCGAATTCAATATTTTATCCAGAAAAATATTACGCAAGCCCTGAAGATTTTAGTAGCAGATGGTACGAAGTTTTGGATATCCATTATATTTCTGGCTAAAATATCGGATTAACCATATTTAAAAACCGGCTCAAATCGAACCGTTTAACGACACCAGATATGGGGTCGTATAAAATCACGCCTAGTTAAATGAGAGTAATTTTAAAATTCAAGTTTGATATACTATAAAATATAAAAAAACTAGCTCAAAACGATTTTCCTCCTTTTTTTGAGGGGGTTGTTCATTTTCCATTTTGTTTATAGGTTTATCATTATGTGTTCATGATATTTTGGGAGATATGGAGATATAAAAACGGTATATTTCTATCTTAAAAAAAATAAAATTTTAATGCCAAAATAATTCCCGCGAAAAAAACATTGGCTAATGCTGTCACTAAGGCGTAATTCGAAAAATTTAAAAAAAAAAAATATTCTAAATTAATATCTATATGACAAAATTTATTAACATATCTTCATACAATAATATATTAAATATTGGTAAATGAAAAAATAAAAAAAAAATTTCTCTCCATTTTTTAAAGGAAATGAAAAGAAGATGAAATTAGGAATAAAAATTTTTTTTTACAAATTATAATAAAATTCTAATAATAAATAATTTGGGATTGACTAGAAGTTGGTTATATATATATATATATCTTGTGGGCAAAATCGTTTGCTAACATAAGTTAGCGTTATCACATTCCTTTCGCACAACCAGCAAAGGCATACTACTGGGAGCTATTATTTCTAAAATATCATAGAGATTAATAATATAATGATAAATTTCGTTGTGTTCCATCAAAAATAAAGACATTCTTTAAAAAAAATATATATCAGAGACCCGCGGAGGTACCATTTGCAAGGCTTCGGCCCGTATTTTTTTAAAATATATGGCTCGGCCCGGATATTTATTTATAAAAAATTTCAAGCCCAGCATGAGTGTTTAAATAACCGGTTCGGCCTGGGTATATTTAAAAAAATAAAAATACGGCCCGTGTACCCGGGCCTGCAGGTCTCTGATATACATATATATAAGTGGTTCCATTTTTTTTGTGAACAACTTAAAATTTAAAATTGTGTTTTTTTTTTGTGTATTGGCAAATCAAGCTGACTCCATGACGGCTTAGCGGAGTTTCAAGCCAATTATTTTAGCCTCAACCTCGAGGCTAAAGCACATTTTTATGGCTTATATGACTCAGGAGTGTGAGCCATAAATATCTACTTGAAACTGGAGGTTATCAGCCGATTTTTCATCACTAGCTATCGGTCATTTAGTGAAATAGTCGAGAAAATTTTAGTTTAAAATGAGAAGGGGGGGGGGGGTTCACAATGTAAAGAAGATGTAAAATTTTTCTTTGATATACTTTTAAAAAATCTACCTGAAAAATATAACTTAGCGTCGTTCAATGACTTAAACGTTTTGATGTCTTTGAGATTATCCATAATGTTTGCTCCCAATATTTCCTGATAAATAAATTTAAAAAAAATAAAATAAACAAAATAATGATGAAATAAATAATAATAATGACACGTTAAATGATAACAAATAATGGATGATAAATAAATAACGTTAATAAAAATAGTGATAATAATAGACACACATCTAATAATAAGTAAGGGTTACGGCACGAAATTATCCAAGATGGGTTCAATACAAAGGGAATTATTTTTTAGGACAAATGATAACGAGACAAAGCAAACAATTAAATGCCAAGATGATATGCCCTAGACAAGGAGTGTGTAAAAATCATTACAATATATTAATCTATTATATTTACATCTGACAGATATACTTTACTATCTTTGAACTTAATAGAAAATACTAATAGATCACTTATTTTTTTTAGCTATTTTCCAACTTTCTATAATTCAATATAGTAGGAGTCATGGATAAGATCTATATTGATTAGTGAAAATATGTGCCGCAAGCCCTTTCAGAAATGATGAAATATTGCAATTATGCAATTTTGAGAAGTGATGAATGAATAAATCTAATATTCTTCTCCATTCTGTTTATTTAATATATTTTTTTTTCTTCTCTCATATCTGTTTCATAATTTTTGAATTAAAATTTTTTTTATTTATTTTTGTTTACATTGATATTGCATAAGACAAGTTGTTTGTTCATGGCTTTAAACTCTTTGTTCAATTCTTTGAGCTCCTGATAAAATTAAATATTAATAAATAAAATTAATTATTAGATAATTGTCACAAGATAAGATATTCTTACTATACTTTTTTTTAGCCATGGGGTGAGGTTAACTTTTTAAACTTTAAAAAGGGTGGAGGGAGGTGGGGCTCATTTTTCTAAATTTTTTTAACATTAGCAAAAAAAAAAGGAAATTCTATATAGAATTAGCACAACAAAAAAATATATAATTCTAAACCTTAAAATAAATTTTAAAAAAGGCCACATCTAAAAAATCAATATTTCTCAGAGGGGTTGGGGGGCTTACCAAGATTTTTAGGGGGGGGGGGTTGAGCTCCTAGGATCTCTTCCTAACGACGCTACCGATTTATGATAATACAAATTGTGTTGTTAATAAAAGCCCCCCTATTTGGACCGATTTTTCAAAATGGTCCGATTAAGATTTTAGCTAAAACGATATTTATGTTAAGCATCGAGATTAGGCAAATAGGTGTCCAAGCATTTCAGCCAGTTATGTGCAAAATCATTAGGCTTTGTCCTAATGTTATTTTTGGTTAATAATCTTAAATCGGGTTTTTTTTAACAACACCTAAATACGAATGGGCTTAAAAAATGAACTTGGATAATGGTAAAATCGAAATCTTGTATGTGAGAACAATCGATGATCACGTCGGCCAATATTTTGGATAATTTTTTGTTCTTGGTGGGAATGGAGGAACCGATAGTGCCGTTAGCTTTGATTTCACCTTTATACATATATAATTTAATTATCAATAAATGGTAAATTAATTAAAGCGTTTAAATCAGGGACCTGTGGGCCCGGGCCCTATTTTAAATATTCCCGGGCCGGGCACACTTCGATCGAGATGTATTTTTAAAATCACGATTATTAGCTATAAAGATTATAAATAAATCTAATAGTGCGCATGCGCACAAATTGAACGTTTCATACGTTGCGTTGTAAAGCGCAAATAACGCATTTCAAATGGCCTCGTGCAAATTGGTAAAATTATCGTTTGGCGTTAGCCACCATTTTTAAAAAAAAAACGCAAATAGGTTAGCTTTTTCATTTTTTATTTTACTCTTCGCTTTGTAAAATTATATTAAAAAATATAATATAAATAAATTTACTTATTATCCTAAAAAAGGAATATTTAGAAAATTAAAGAAATAAGTAGGCAGACGATAATATAATAATTTTCAAAGACAAATCCTTTTATTTTTAAGAACTTATTTAAAAATTTTGAATGGAGTATATATATAAAAAGGCAACACCTTTTTTTTTATTAAAAAATTACGGCAAAACGCAAACGCTCAATTTGTGCACACTATATTATATTTGAAAAAAATCCCAGGTCTGACATAAAAATATAAAATTCGAACCAGGTCGTGCAAATGGCACCTCTATAGGTCTCTGGTTTAAATATCATAAATTGGATTTTTTTTTGTTGTTGTAAATTTCAATTTTTCCTTAAAATACTATAACATATATTTTTTTAAAATTACTAAAGGAGAAGAAATCTTTGTTAAAAAAAAACATGGATAATTAAAGAATGAAGAAACATTGATTGAGAATAAAAGAAAGAAACTCCTTCTTTTGTAAAGGTTAGAAAATAATATCTAGGAAAATGTATTTACTGATAAAACCGTTAGTCTCACTGGGTTCATCCTCTTCTTGTTCCAATAATGGTTCCAGCAAGCATTCCGAGATTAAAGTCTCCGTGAAATATTCACCGCTAGGGTAGAAAAGTGATTGATTCGGTTTTATAATGTAATATTTGAGGCCATTGGCATCATTTTCATCTAACTTTTTAAATAAAAAAAAAGCTGTCTTTAGGTAAGAAGTACACACCAGAATGTTTAAAAAAAATTAAGCATTAATTATAATATATATTCATTTTTATTATATTTTAAATTATGAAAATTATTCGGTATAAATACAACTAATTAAGCAAGCAGACGATAATTTTTTTTTTAATGTTTGTAAACATTCAAAATCTAAATTTTAAGAGTAATTGATTTTGAAATGGTGCATTTTTTTTGGGCGTTGGAGATTCTGCTACCTTGGTGAAAGATAGACAGGATATGGATGGGTGTGAAGTGTATGACAAATGTTGTGTTAATTGTGGTAGAAAAAGAGCTTCAAAATGTTAAAACCCATATACGATTGCATTTCTTAACATCAAATATATAAATATAATGTTTATAATTATAAATTTATGCAAATGTCCTTATGATATTGTACTTTACATTGAACGAGTAAAATCTTTACACATTTTTTCAAACATAAGAAAATTGTTGTAAAAAGAATAAAATATTATTACATATCATATGCAATTTTAATAAAGTTTCTCGTTATTTTTTTTTATGGTTTTTAATAAATCCTACTGTAATTGTTAATTTTATTACCATAAAATGGATTGTAATTATAATTAATACGATTACATGTAATTAATTACCGTTTTTAGAAATAAAATTAATAATTTAATTATAATTAAATACAAAAAATTTTGTGATTGAAAATTAGGAACCAATTACAATTTCTGAATAATTATGTCCATCCCTGGGTGGAAGTTTTTCAATATAAACAATCAATTTTATATAACTCGCTCATTTTATTAAATCTGGTTGATTTAAATTTTATAAATTTAAATGTCTTGGTGTTTCAAAATTTGGCCAAAATATAATTTAAAGCATATTTTTTTCCCTGTTTTTTTCCCCTTACATTTTAAATAAAACCAGTTTTTTATTAATAGTTTGTTTTATATATATACATATATATATATGTAATAAGAATATATAAGAAATGTTAACTTACTTCAATATATAAATGTGGTTTGGAGATGGGATAAACTAGGAAAGCCATGGCTAAAACGATCCCGAGTATGATGCCAAATTCGACTCCCACAAAGAAGCAAGCTATCAACGTAGTAATAGCGACCACAAAATCCATTTCTTTCAATATTTTAAAGGTTTAAATTTTTTTTTGAAATTGATATCAATATTCAAAAATAATTTTCTCATTGGCGGAGGTAAAATCTCAACCTCAATTGGTAAATATAAATGTAATAAAAAAGGGAAAATATAAAAAATAGTATAATCACCTAAAAATAATTTAAATTTTTTTATAAAATATAGTGAATAATGGAAAATAATGAAAACTTTTGACTTTCCAAATTTTGACGAATATTTTGTATTCGATCAAATTTAACACGGCCGATATGATCATAGCGGCTAAGGATGCCTTGGGTATGAATCTGAAATAGCTTGTTAGATACCTTAAGGCTAGTAGCACCAATAGACCTGTCACCCATTATAGGTACAAAAAAAATATTATAAATAATAATAATAATCTAAGATAGGGTTTTGCCATTCATTTTAGCCCAATCAAGCGCCATAATATATTTTAAAATTTAGTATAAATTAATATTAAGTTAAAAAGTTTATGGAAAAATTTTTCTGAAGTTTACAGGGTTAGGTATTCCAAACATGACCTGGTATAATCAGATTTTTAAAAAAAACGCGCTCAAAAAATGATTTAAAGTTGAAAAAAAAACACATTGCCGGAAAAAACACATTGAAGCTATTACACAATATAAATGTTAAAATTTAATTTGAGAATTATCCTTTTATCATTATTTTTGCATCGTGATTTACTATTTGCAATAAATATATGTATATTTTTCTTTCAAAATGCTCTCCTTGACTATTTTATAAATGGATATGGAACATTATAATACTCAGCTGACGAATATATAATTGCTCTTAAAAGAAGCAAAGAATCAAAGAAGTAATGGGCAACATACTAATTAATTTTTAATAAAAAAAAAAACCTGTGAAAATTCCTCCAGCTTGGGTCCTGACGCCAGTTTGAGAATTTATAGCGGTTCTGGAAAAATCATTGAAAATATCATTAGTAAATCGGAACTCGTTCAAACAAAAAAAGATTCACAAAAAATTAATTGGATCTCCTATAATATTCTAACTAATTTTATTTTTCTAAACTAAATAGGAGTTTGAACGCGCAATATTTCTCAGACCGGGTACATGGGTCGGGCCGTATTTTAATTTTTTTTTAAATATATCCAGGCCTGGCCTATAAAAAAATTTTGTTTTAAATACCAGCGGGCCTAATAATTTCCTGGCAAGACCGTATATTTTAAAATAAACGGGCCGGGCCCGAAAATATAAAACCCGGGCCGTGTCGGGCTAAAAAATCCGGGCCGGAAACTCTTTTAAAAAAATGCGGGCTGGACCGACCTACGGGTTCTCTGATATTACTGTAAGAATTTAATTTTTCTACAAATGACTACATTGCAAAATTAGCAATTCAAAAAATAAAAAAATAGCAGTTTATTTTCGTGCATTCGGGATCGGTTTCTAAAAATGGCCGGATTAAGATCTTGACCAAAATAAATATTATGTAAGCATCAAGATTTGGTAAATAGATATCCAAACCTTTCCTGCCCATCTAACGAGTAAAATCTTCAGGTTTGCCCAATAGTGCGAACAAATTGTGCCCTTTCAAACGTTGCGTTGCAAGCGCCATTAATGCCTTTCAGGTGGTCCTCGTGTCAAATTGGTAAAATTACCGTTTGGCGTTAAACAAACCATTTTTAAAAAAACGCAATTAGGTTTGCTTTTGCATTATTATTTTTTTAATTCTTCTTAGAAGAGAAGAGAAGAGAAGAGAAGAGAAGAGAAGAGAAGAGAAGAGAAGAGAAGAGAAGAGAAGAGAAGAGAAGAGAAGAGAAGAGAAGAGAAGAAGAAGAGAAGAGAAGAGAAGAGAAGAGAAGAGAAGAGAAAGAGAGAGAGAAGAGAAGAGAAGAGAAGAGAAGAGAAGAGAAGAGAAGAGAAGAGAAGAGTATTATATAAAAATGTAATTATAAATAACTTACTTATGTATATCCTAAAAAGAAGGAATAAATTTATAGAAATTAAAGAAAAAACGAAAGCAGACAATAATATAATTTTCAATATGACAAATCCTTCTTTTTATTTTTTAGAAATTATTCAAAATTTTTAATCGACGGATATAATAAAAAAAGACAACCTCAATTTTAACAAAGGACGCTTTTACGTTTTTTTTATTTAAAAAATTAGGGCAAAACGTAAACGCTCAATTTGTGCGCACTATAATAATATTTTGGTTATAATCTTAATCGAACCGGTTTTAAATCGGACCGGTTTTTTAAAATCGGACCAATTTTTTTAAATCGGACCGCTCCCGAATCGGGCTTTTTAACAACACCTAGTCGTAATTCGGGGTTTTGAAAATTCAGAGGTAAGCTACGTAGACCCCGGGTTTTTTAGCAAATTTTTAAAAACTTAAATATCGTATATAATCGCGCCTTTTTTTTAAAAAAAATCAAATAATTCTAAACACCTAATTTTGCCCCACGGACTTCTCAAACATTTATAGTTTTACCTTACCCTGTGAGTGAATTTTAGACGACTTCGCCAGAAATCTTTGTTTTCGTTTAATATTTAAAATTTACATTGAAGGCCAAACGGTCTTACATTCAAAGAGAGTAGATACTCTATTAGTGAAAACGATCCGGGCATAATTGAGCCTTTCAAAAAAAAATTAAAAAAACGCGTACTTACAAAATGATTTTTTTTCAAAATTTGATAAAAAAAAATACAGTTTCTAAAGGCCCCTCGCAACATTATAAAAGCATATTTACGATTCTGAAATAACCTGGAAAAACTGGCGGTGATGGGGTAAGAAGATACGAATGAGCTCATCACGTTTGAGATTCCTATTAAAAATTTGTTTGTATACTTAATATAGATACCGATAATATATCGGACGATACTCGATACATTTATTATTAATGCATGTAGTGTTCATTTTAGATTCGCAAATTACGGCCCAGCCCGATCCGGGTTTATTTTAAAAAACAAATAATTTTTATCTTGGACCGAGCTTTTCGGGACAAATATAAAAAATTTGTTCAGTTTCGGGCCGGATAAATTTTTTCAAAAAAATTCGAGCCGGGCCGGGCTTGAAAAATTAGGCCCAATGCAGATCACTAGTGTTCCTTGGGGGAGGGGGGAGGAAAAGTAAAGATAAAATTCATCAATATTATCTTATTTTTTATTTATTTTCATCATTTATTATTATTATAAAATTTAGTCGGGAGAAGGTGGGAGTTGGGGGGGGGGGGGGGGTGGCATGATTAAATCAAATTGATTTAAATCGATGAGGTACGAGTTCGTTAAAAAAAAAATTATTTTTGAAGGGAAAAAATTTTTGTAAAATTTATTTATTATTAATTTACCTAAGGCCACGAATTCCTGAGTTGGATCTATGGTATACTTATGTTTCCTGGCTAAAATAAATAAATAAAATATTACGATATGCCGATTATAAATGCGTAAATAGGTTATACTTTACTATAATATAATAAAAAAGTGGCATATGTTGGTGTTTTTATTTTATAAAAATGACATAAGGGAATGTCATCGTTTGGCTGGAGAATAAAAAAAAACAGATTTTATTTTAAATTCCTCTCGTAATCCCCACATATAAAAAAAGTTGTTAAAAGTAACTTTTAAAATGTATCTTGATATCGATACGGATGCTAGAGCTCCGCAAGTATGCCCGAGTATAAGTATCTTCACTATCATAATCCCAATAAGTAAAAAAAATTTAAATGAATAGAAAAATACCTCACTATCATCCACAATTCCTTTAGGTAAAATTTAAATATTATTGTGACGGAAAGATGATTCGCTAATCCGATACAAATAAAAAAGATACACCTAGACCCGAGCAGATTACTAGCATCTAAGATATTTTACACAACTCTGGTATTTTTTCCTATAAGTTTGAATTTAACGAACTTAAAAGTTATTCAAAATTACCAAATCCTCTAATGACCTCATAAATAAAGCTCTTGATATAAACTCTTCTTAAAAATGGCGTTAAAATGCGCTACCATATGACCCGATATTTGATAAACTGACGGCTCGTTTTATATTTATAAGTTATAATAAAAACAGATTATTTTACCGAAAGATTTGGCTATGGCTAAACTTTCCAATATACCAATGAGCGATATGGTTAGAAAGCCGAAACTGATATCCTTTTTGAATCAATTAGATTTAATTTTAAAAGAAAGAAAAAAATTAATATGGCCTTTACACTTTCGAATTATGTAAATGGAAGCTAGACAGCAAGTCGTATGTGGCGAACACCTTCTCAAGTTTTTGATATTAGATAAAGATGGAATCTTTGTGCATAAATATGAAACCATCATAACTGGTTAAAATATATTAATTAGAACTAAATGTTGTAATTAGTGTTGTCAAACGGCTCATATTGAGCCGATTTTTAAAAATGGCTAACTCAATATTTTCGCCGGAAAAATATTCCTTAAGCCTCAAGATTTTGAAAATAAGACCTTTGTTCTTTCTATGAGCAAAATCTTCATGCTTATTTTTCTGGATGAAGTATTGAGTGAACCGTTTTTAAAAATCTGCCCAAAACCAACCGTTTTTAACAACACTAGTTGCAATGGTTCGAATAATAGCTTTTCGAAACATTTTATAAAAGCATTAAACAAGGGCAAAGGCAAACTAAATATTAAATGAAACAATAAAAATTTTCATCCTCGGTTCTTACCTTAACTGTTATCAAATCATACTAGATATACCCAACGCTACTAAATCCCAAGCTGAGGCTCAACTCGGGAATATAAGCCAATTGTTTTAGGGCTAAAGGGCGAAGCTGTATCGGAATTGGGCATAACCATGATATTTATTTTTTTTTAAAAAAAAAATTAATGAATAATTAGATAAAAACTAACCTGAAAGACTTCCTTGGCGCTAACGAATATGGTGTTAGAAGAAATATTATTCGAAGAAGCGTTCAAGGAAGTCCCATCGTAGCGAAAGTTAAAACGAGGGGGGAAGGTCCAGGGCGGGAGTCCTCCTTGAACAGACGGGGTCAGATTGACCTTGCGATCCGTTTGATTAAGCCAATAGGCTACTATGGCTGAAAGGGCTATCACTGCGGCATTCCTACCTGTTCAAAATGTTTTTTTTTTATTATCATTAATTTTAGCCGTTATCCTTAAAACAAAAAAAAATTTGTTCCAAACCTATCATTGTCCTTTCTAACTTAACTTTATATTTTTTGTCATAACCTCGCATAATTGCTAAATAGATTATTTATAAAGAAAACGTCAATCAACAATATTTCACATTTTTGATTGGTAGAAAAATTATTTTTATATTAAGATATTTTTCGATGAATAAAAAGATGATTATATATCTTTTTAAAATTATTAAAAGTGTTAATTACAAATATAGCTAAAATAAAAAATATTTTATCAGTTTAAATTTACTAATTTTTTTTCAAAATAAATAATAACAATATGACAATTCAATGTTTTCGAAAGGTAAGTTGTGAACCTGTCAACAAAAGCCAGACCGATTTATGAATCAATATCTTGAGAATTTGCCATAACTTATTGGCGTATCGATTGGAATCGTTGGAGGAGTTATTCCCATTAGCACTGAAAAGTTTTCGCTCTAACCATTGACTCCTATTTAATTTCTATGCGATAAAAAAGAAAAATAACAATTTGTTTGATTTAAAATCTTTGAAATTTAAAGAAATATATATAATAATAATATAGTATATATATGTTATAGCTAGTGTCAATATGTTTTTTTTTCCGGCAATGTGTTGTTAATTTTCAACCTTAAATCATTTTTTGAGCGCGATCATGCTTAGAAATAACTACCCCACGAATTTCACACAATTTTTGCTAAGAACTTTTGAAATTAATATAATTTATATTAGTTTTTACATAGATTTTTTTTTAAATTATAAATGATATACGACTCAAGGGTTAAAGACAAAATTGTCTACAATTCATGAGATAGGTATTCTAAACATGCTGAAATACATTTCCGGTAAAATCAGATTCCTAAATTTAAAAAAAACGCGCTCAAAAAAATGATTGATTTTAAAGTTGAAAAAAAAAATAACACATCGCCGCTAACATACATGTATAAAACAAAGTTGTTAAAAAGATACTCTTCAAATGTATCTAAATAGAGACATTATTTCCTAAAAAAAAGATTATTTCGATACTTAAAAAGTTCGCAAACCTTCATGATGAGCAAAAGGATCAAGCTGCATATTCCCAAAGCGCAATCCCAAGGGCTATTTTAAAAATTATAAAAAAAAAATGGGGTTGTGTAAAGAGAACAATGTTAAAATTTGAAGGACTTCAAATATGAAAATATACACGTTTAAAAAGTTTTTTGGAATGGTTTTACATTAGTGTTGTCGAAAAAACAGGATTTTAGTCAAAAAAAATATTCCCTAACCCTCGAGGTTCGGTCAAGAGAGGGTAAAACTTTCCTGTCGTCTATTTGCAAAATCTCTCATTTTTGGCGAAAATCTTGTCGCCCATTTTTAAATAATCGGCTAAAATAGAAGTTGTTGACAAACATTACTTACACTACGTAGTGGGCGCCAAGTCCAATTATGACTTTCACAAAATAACATGAATCAATTCCATTTGAACTATATGAAGTTTGTTTTTTTTTTCTCTCAAATTTCTTTTAGGTTTATTTTTATTTTCATTTCCATTTCGTTTATCAAAATTTATTTCTATTCTTTCTAAAATTAATGGCATTCTTCTCCCCCAAAAAAATCCTATCAGCTGCTTCAAGGCGACGGGGAGTGACAAAGATTTCGGATGGCTAATGAGGATTAGAAATTTTCGCGTGATCGGGGGTGGAATAGGATCATCATCTGCTAAATGACTCGTAAAAATAGCAAGAAGATTGATGTCAAGAAGATAACCCGATCATAAAAAATAACTCCATATCCGTTTATCTAGAGTAAAAGGAATAAAGATGGGGTAAAGCCCGAGCTATTCTTTGGCAACCTCCTTACAACAAAGAAAGGAACCTAATAGACCTAAAATTGTGAAAGCTAGACTTATAACGGTCATAAAAGATGATTCTGTGGGGACCGGTCTGATTAAGGATAATGTAAGGGTGTCGCTAAGTGGAATGCTGAGAGCATGTCAAGAAGAGAGGGAGAAGTGGTTGAGGCGCAATACAGAAAGAGGATAGATCGGTGCTCCATACAAGATAGTGGATGGAAGGGAACCGGTGCAAAAATTAGAAGGCGAATAAATATCGACGCTGCGGAAATGGTTATAGTAGCCATGTAGCGAAATATTGACAATTAAGGTGACACATGAAGCCAAGTTACAAGGAACGGAGATGAGATCGATTCGATGGATGAGAGAACTACAAAAAAAACGATTGTATGAGTAGATGCCGTTAGTTGAAAGTGGCGGGAACAGGATCCAAAAGGTGACCAAAGAGATGATGTCAGATAATGACACGGGAATGATAGATTTGACCGGTAGCGATATACTCGGGATCGCGGAAAGTGGAAAAATAAAATTAGAGGAAAAGTTGACCAACTAGGGTGACCCGAGCCACCCAACGAAGGAGTGACATCCATTTATTTTTCTAAGGTTATCGATTTCAAAAAGAGTTTGAAAAAGGGAACTAATCTTTCAAAAAATAAAATCACTAATTGAATTTAAAATAAATGTTAAAATTTGTATAAATAATTTTAGATGAAAAAGAATACTTCGTCTTCCCGATATCCCTGAAAGTGTGAATGGTTTCCAGTAAAAAATGGCTTTTGGCAACTTTGATCCCTAGAATATTCTGAAAAAAAATATATATACGTGTACTTTAAAATGAAATATCCGATGGCTATTATTTTCCTTCTACAACATTTTTACATTAATTAGTCTGTTTGCTTTTAGAGATAAATTAATCATATATATATTTATTTTTTTATATATATATTACCGTAATATAATATAAGAATGTATCGTTAAAAAGTATCGGTAAATATATTAATTAATTGATCTATCATAAATCAATTAAATCAGCCTTTGCCCCCTTATATATATATTTTTTTACACCTATATTTTGTTAAATACTAAGTAAAATATAAATTGTAGCTTTAACCCCCCCCCTTAATGATTAGCTGCAGGGGTCAGTCAAATTAGGAGTTATAGACATGCCCCTCCCATATGGTGGGGCGAGTATATTAGCTCATCAAAGGGTTATTTTGTAAATAATTTTTGAGCCCCTTGGATTGTAAAAGGTTTGTGACGCCACTGGTAAAGCCCATGTACTCCCATCTTAGTAATAGGCCCAAGACGACCCAGAAACGAGTCGTGGCAAGACGTAGAATGTTTACAAATCAATCAGATGATTATATGAATTTCTTATTGGATAATTGTGCCCTCCTAGTTGCGAATAGTAAACTTTTATCGCTGCGAACAATGCGACGCAGTAAATGAAATGAGTGTAATTCATTAATTCTTTATATTTTTGTTTTTGAAAACAAAAAAGTTACAAGGTCGAAATGTAGATTTCGTTATTCATTATCCGAGAGTATACGCTTAAATTTTAAAAAATAAATTCTTTACTATCATTTATTTATTATTATATTAAAATTGTTTTTTTTGATTATGGTGTAATGTGTTTAATTTATTCACTTATTCAAACACATATTATTATTTTTAATATATATATATATCTCAACCTTTAAATTAAATTTAAAAATAATACAGTGGATCCACAAATCTTACTAAATTAAATATCTTGATTTATATTTCTAAGGCGTGAAATCGTCCAATGACATATAATAATACCTATACTGACAATAGATGCATTCATAATAATGCATTTGAAAAGCGTCGTTGAAAGCATATCAGCTGGACCCGCCATTTTTGGTGACCCATAGAGTTAATTATTCTCATGTTAAAAACTATCTTTAAATAGATAATTTGCTTCCTTAGTATCTCGAAGATCAGGAAATTCTTTAATAAAGTTTGCGTCAGGCATAGAAATAAATTGGCATCTCGTTCAAAATTTTTAACAATGATACGGGTAACCAAAATGGCGTCCCCAGCTGTTTTCATAGATGTACACTTTTAATGCATTGCCAGTCTATGTGATTCGCAGTTCCAAAAAATCCGTAACAAATTTTTTTTTTTTAAATGGCTGATTCATTTTAATAGCAACTTCTCGCTTAGATCCCTCATATTTTTGTTGATCGATTTTTTCAATGAATGAATGAATTTTTAAGCCCAATCACTTTCAGAGATTAAGTAAAATAATTTGGATATAAATTAATTGCATTTGAGTGAGACAAAGAATATCTCAGACCCCCTGGAGGATATTTAAAACTATTTTTATTTCACGTAATTGTTTTAATATAGATATATGCGCTATCACTCCACAATTAAAATATTATTTTTTTTAAACAAAAAAAAAATCTGAAGGTTGTTTTAGTGTTACTTAGGACATCAAATTGTTATCTTTGGTATATTTAGATCAATTCGCAAAAATTCAATAGAATTCCACCCAAAGTCAGTCATCAGTTAGATTTTTAACAAAAAAAATAATAAATTTTAATACTTGATAATTGATATAAATAATTTTTTATAAAAAATATATATATGTCTGTTAAGCGTCAAAGTGCCTTTTTCGCAGCAAATGTGTTATTTTTTCAACTTTGAATCATTTTTTGACCGCGTTTTTTTTAAAAAAAATTTAAAAATATGATATTTATAGGAAATGTATGCCGTCATGCTTGGAATTATGCCTACCCCTATGAATTTCAAAAAAATTTCCCATTAATTTTTACACTTAATATAATTTGTATTACAAATTATAACTGATTCTCAAAGGTTAAAAGCAAAATTGTCTACAATTCATAAAGATAGGTATTCCAAACATGGTAGAATATATTTCTGGTAAAAATAGGATTTTTAAATTTTAATAAAACGAGCCCAAAAAAATGATTAAAAGATGCAAAAAAAAACTCATTTCCGGAAAAAACACATTGTCAAAAAATCTTAGAAAATATTTGATTGTAAAAAAAAATGTTCAGACTAAATCCTGAAACGAAATGTTGGACTTCAAAGATCAAGTACAAATTTCTTTCCTATGTTTTCATTTTTTAATACTTATCTCACTCATATTATATAATATACTTTAATTTGTCCGATGGCTATGATAATAGCGGCAGCGTTCGTAAATCCGTTCAAAACGGGGTGAGATATAAAACTGATCAGAAATCCTTATTTTTTAAGAGTAAAATATCAATGAAAATGGATGATGATGATCGTCGTTAAAAAAAAAAAATTTAAGTTCTCCTCATCTAAGTTATATTGTAATATATACATTTTTGAAGTAAATTATTATTGTCCTGATTTTGGAGATAATCATCCATCAAATATTATGTTAAACGTAACGATTAAGATTATAACATTATGTAAGCCTAAAGATTTTTGGCTCTTAGCTGGCAAAAGAAATGCTTGGACATCTATTTGCCAAATCTCCACCCTGCTAAAATCTTAATTGGAACCGTTTTAAAGAATCGATCCGAATCGGACTTTTTTAACAACACTATCAATCTCTTATATCGTTGTTTTTAAAGTAAAAACTTTAATAAACGCGTGGGACAATCATTCGTGATGATAAGTGTAAGAATTAAGAAATCAATTGCGAATATTAAATTTTTCTTCCCCCAAAAAATTTAAGCTAATAAACGTAAGATAAAATATTTTTTTTTGTTAAACAACTAAAAAGAATAATAAGAAGAGCCTTTTTAAATTAAAAAAAAGGATAAAAGAAGAAATTATTTAATAGTGAAGAAATATCAAAATGCATATATATATATATAAGGTGAACATTTTGGATCGTATTAATATATAAAAAACCCATCAATCACAAAAAGTTTTCTATATTCAGATTACAAGAGTGTTTCAACCCCCTGCGGAGATCTAACGCCTACATTTGAGACCTGTGCTACGGACCGCTGATTAAGTTAAAACGCCAACACGCTCGCCGCCTATTTCTAATAATGGTATCAGCTCGGCGTGAAAAAGTAAATGTCACCAATAGCGTGCTTATTAAATCGTATTTTAATATCATTTTAATATCATGTTTATTATATTAAATTTAATAAGTTTATCGCACCCTACTTCATTTTATACATTAAATTATTTATTTTTTTTTCTTACATTTAAATATTAAAATTAATAAGATAAAAATATGAACTTGATGATTATGTCGTCTACTATGCTAATGCGTATAACTATAAAAATAACAAACGCTCTCTGATAATAACAAAACCAGTTACGCGTGAATGGGTGCAGTGTTATTAAACGGCTCGTTTTTTTTAGAAGCGATATATTCAATATCAACACAAAAAAAATTTACTAAGCATGCCTGGAGATTTCGTTCATAAGTGACATCTATCAAAAAAAATTTCGAGGCTTGGCGTAATATTATTTTAGCAAAAAGAAACTTATAATTTAAAATTGACGAAAATATGATTATTGACAATCTTGCCTTAAAAATTATCGAGAAAAAAAAATGAATTATTAAGATTAACTTGATCCAAGAATTCAAAATCTAAAAAAATTTGATTCCGAATTATTTTGATAGAAATTTTTGCGAAAACGCTTTCAATTTTTAAGCATCCAAAACTTGCTGAGAATGATTTGAAAAGGCAAAAAATGAGCTTCGAATTGTTTGAACGAGGCTTCAATCAAACATCGATTTCGCATATTTGCGAGAATCGCTGGAAAGCATTCCGCCAAAGAGGCAAAGCAAAGATTCTATTATCGTTAACAATCTGGAACGAGAACGTCATATTTTACTCAGTCAAAAAATACTGTGCCCAGAACGAGGTGCGCATCTATCCTTTTCAAGGGGAGAAAAAAATGAGCTAATTAAGCTCGTTATTAAGCGCAACTGCGAACAAGTTAAATCAGCGATATAATCTTTTATTTGCTGAATTAAAACACCTTCAACTTCCATTTTATACCAATTCTAGATTAAAGTCGTATATATTCATTAAAATTTCACGTAAATCGAAACTAAATTCGATTTTTGATTCCGTTTAACCATCAAATTTTGTCCTCCTAACACATTTTACTGTTAAATCGATAAAAAGACTGAGTATCATAGAGAAATACGCATTCATATATAGGGGTTGGACCAAGTGGGGAAAGATTTTGGAGCAAAAAAAATAAGAACGACGAAACTAAAGGTGCCCAAATAACTTAAACGCGTCCCTAATTTTATTGGGCGGCGGCGTATTCCGAGATTTAAATCTTGGCACACAGGTCTTACTCATATTTTTCGATATTAGTATTAATTTTTTTTTTAGAAAAATAAATAAATACCTAAATGTACAAATCCCATGACAGCTTGCATGATTCCACTCACGAACGTTAGAATGATAGCGTAATGCATGTGCAACATATTTCTCATCTCTTTAAAGTCGGTGACACTTATATTCGTTGTGCTGTCTATCAAAAATATTAGTTTGATACCTTTATAATACATCTCTAATCTTCGTTTTATTTACTTCCCTCGATCATTCTCACCCTTTTCCTAACCCTTGAGTGGCGAGGTGGATAAAAATAAATAAAGCGATTGGTTGGGGCATAACTTACCCCACCCCCTTCCCCCATTTTAAAAATGTTATATGTCATTCAAATTTCGGTATAAAGCTTTGACATTTTAGAAATCTCAATCATTAAATTAATTATAAATATTAACAGTTTAGAATTAAAAACAGAAGGCTGTGTCAAAATATCCATAGGTTTTTATTTGTGTAATAACAATTTAAAAATCTCTGGGGCGTTGCTATGCCTCAGAATATGAACTCAAGAGTTAAGGATAATCTCATCATTATTATTCAATGGCATATTTTACATGACAATTTCACTCACTTATAGATGTTATTTGGCTAATGTTGTCGATTTTGTCGTAACGCGTCAAATGAGTGTATTGATAGACCAGTAATGACATAACAGCTGTTGGTCCATAAGTGACATCTTTGGAAGTCCCGAATATGGAATACATGAAGAGACCCATGAAAGAAGAGTACAAGCCATACTAAAATATACTTTCGATTAGGAAACTGACGTTGAAGAATATTATATAATAGAGATGAGAATAAACTAAAAGAAAAAGGTAACCCCCTCCCCCTAAATATCAGAGACAAGTAGAGGTCAAATATTATACCAGGCCCGAAAAACCCGACCCGGATTTTCAATTTTTAAATCTTGACCGGTTTTTTTAAATCATACTATTTATTAGTCCCATCTCGAGGCAAGCCTTCCGGTGTGTCTGGCTAAATAATATAATATTAATTTAATATGGCTCACTTGGATAGGGAGTCCAGCTATAGTGGCGTAGGCTAAGCTTTGTGGAATAACGGTCATGCCAACCGTTAAACCCGCGATCACGTCGTAAACCAAATCCAGCTTGGAGTACTTCTTGGCCCATCTCACAAAGGGAAAAAACCGTTTAAGTCTGGATTTAAGAGGCTTTTTTAGCTTAGATAACATTCCAATTTCTATATAATTTCAGAAGACAAGTATTTTAATGTAACGAATAGGTTTGAGACTTTAGCATTGTAACGGATATTTGAATATTAGATACAAAAGATACATTTTAGTATTTAGATTAAAATAATGAGTGCAATGACATATAATAATACATAGACTGACGATGCATTCATAATATTTTAAAGCGTTCGTTGAATGCAGTCAGCTGGACCCGCCATTTTGGTAACCCAAATAGTAATTATTCTCATGTTATAAAGTACTATATATTTTTTAAAAACAACAAATATATAAATTATCCTAATTTTATGATCCGAATTGACGTTATTTTTAAAAAAGAATGGGTAACCAAAAATGGCGTCACCAGCTGTTTTTCATTGATGTACACTTTTAATGAATGACATCGTCAGTCTAGGTATTATTGCATGTCATTGAATGAGTGGTATTAATGTTTACGGCAAGTATATAAAAATTTTGGAAGGTAAAATTAATCAAAGTGGACATTAATCAAATAATTAATGTGTTTTTTATTTATATAATACCTATCAGACAGTTTTAGAGAAAGAAAAATATTTTTTAAATTAATCAATCAGATGATATAAAATAAATCAATTTTTTTTAACTTTTCTCATTTTTTTTAAAATAAATATTTATTCTTTAAAATTCCAAATATTTGTTTGTTTGTTTGAAACTGCGAATACTTAGGTAAACTGCAAAATGACGTACGTACATCTTATTTGCATATATTTTTAATTAAATCAAAGATTTTTCTCTATTATTATATATAATATTAAACAAGCCTCTAAAAATTAAACTATTGGACGTATTTAAAAAATGATTATAAATTAAATAATCATGTTTCGGTTCATTTTACTCTAATTAATATATATGGTTTAAATAATAAATCATTTAAATATTAATTATTGTTTAAAATAATTAGAATAAGGAGAATATAATATTATAATATTTAATCCGCAAGGTAGCATGTTTTTTATAAAATAATTAGATAAAGGAGAATATAATATTATAATATTTAATCCGCAAGGTAGCATCTATTGTTTTTTATATTTGTAACCAAAAACATTGAAGGTTAATTATATAATCAGTTAAATAAGAAATTACCAAACAACAAACCAATTCGATTAAACCAAGTTTTTTTTTGAACTGTATTTAACCATACCCCATATTTGGCGATCGTTTTAACCCTAACCCTAACGGACCAAACAATAATTAAATGAAATTATCATCGAATTCTTTTCTTAAAATTGACAACTTCAGGAAAATTAGAAAACAAGTCAATAAAAGCCTAAAAAATTAATTATCAATAAGCTTGCCAAAAAAATTTTTAAATGCTTATCAAATTATTTTCAATCTTGCCCCAAATTAATTAAAAACTTGTCAAAAATTTTAAATACGTATCAAATTATTTTTATATTGCCCTAAATAATGAGTGTCATTTTCCCATTTCTTAAAAAAGATCGAATAATATTTTGTCCGAATCAGGAATATTTAGCCGATTAAACTGGCATAAGTGCGCACAAACGGTTGCATTGCAAGCGCAAATAAATGCATCTCAAATATGGCCTCGTGCATGGCAAATCTACCGTTTGGCGTTAGCAACCATGTTTTTTAAAAAAATACGCAAACAGGTTTGCTTTTACTTGATTTTATTCTTCGCTTTGTAATATTATGTAAAATGTAATCTAAAACAACTTACTTATAATCCTAAAAAAAAAGGAATATTTAGAAAATTAAAGAAATAAGAAGGCAGACGATAATATTAATTTTCAAAGACAAGTCCCTTTTTTGTTAAGAAACTTGATTTAAAATTTTGAATGGATGACCTCAATTTAAACATAGGGAAGCGTTACGTTGTTTTTACTATTTAAAAATTACGACAAAACGTTGTGTGCACTATTAACCCTGCATATTTTTGTATACTTCGTCGCGAATTCGCGCTAATCGGATGCATTCATAATAATGCATTTGAAAAGCGTCGTTGAATGCAAATCAGCTGGACCCGCCATTTTGGTAACCTATTATATAATAATTATTCTCATGTTAAAAACTACTATTAAATTGATGATAAGGCATATTCTTTAATAAAGTTTGCGTCAGACATAGGAATAAATTGGCCTCTCGTTTAAAATTTTGAGTAATCAAAATGGCGTCCCCAGCTGTTTTTCATTGATATACATTTTTAATAAATGCATCGTCAGTCTAGGTATTATTATATTTCACTGGTTACAATAGAAAATTTAAAAAAGTAAATAATATTAAAGACTGCGTCCAAAATATCGAAAAATTAGATTCGATAAAACTTTTAGAAACTTTATGTAAAAAAAGAAGAAATAAGTTGTTTTTTTTTTAAAAAAAATCTAAGAATAAAAACGTCCAAAATAAAACTCTAAAAAAATTTTTCAAATTTAAAAAGATTTAACAAACTATTTCACTTAAATTTTTAAACTTCTGAAAGTTTTAAAACTTTTCGAAATTGAAAAAAAGATTTTGAACATAGCCTTAAATAAAAAAAAAATTTGCTAGTGCTAATAAATGTTTCCTCGAGGCTAAAATTTTTTTTATGCCATTTTTAAAAGCAAAATTAGTACTTACACCTTAAGTCGAAAATTTGATTGACTTTAGTGTTTGTAACGGTCCGGTCTTTCGGTCCTAAAGACGGTCCCGTCCAACAACACGGTCCCACGGTCCGGTTCGACCGAAGACCGATTTAAGAATATAAAAGTTTACTATAAATCGCTTTATAGTTAATGTGTATGTACATGAACATATAAAATATGATTATTTAATGCCTAACACTTTATAATATCTAATTCATCGTTTACTTTTTATATTCTTCCGTTTCATTAAATTCAATATTCATAGTTTACTTTTTATATTCTCCCGTTTCATTCAATTAAATTCAATTTTCTAAAGCTAATGATAAAATAACTAAAAAACGCAATAGAATGAATCCAAAGATGGTTCAATCTATGATGGCACTTGAATCATGGATAAAAAATGGAATCATTTTTGATTTTTTAGAAAATAATTATATTATTTATATACAATTTATTTTAACCCCAAATATATATATCAAAAAAATTAATTAAATATGTAAATCATATTCATATTGATATAATTTATATTAAATAAATTTGTATTTTAATATTCTTTTGATTAGGCCTTTGTGTATAATATAATAAAAATGAATTGATGATATAATTGAAATATTAATAGGGAGTTTAACTATTCATTTTTAATAAATTTAAATGCAGAATAAAACTTTTGTAGCTTCATAGAAAATTTTTTAAGTGGGACCGGACAGCCTGGACCGGACCGGATAACGCTCCCACGGTCCGGTCTTTTTGATTCAACGGTCTATCGGTCCGGTCCCATTTTAGAAAAAAAAGACCGGACCGGACCGTTGCAAACACTAGAATAAAAAATTCCTTACACAAACTTAAATTCAAAAAATAAATCAAATAGCTAAGGCCATAGAAGATGTACTGCCAAAAATCGAGCGTTGCAAAATTGGCTTACTTTAGTTGTATTATATAAAAAAATTTGCATATTTTATTTATCAATTTGTTATTCACACTATCCCTTCAAGATTAAATAAATTTTATTTTATCTACGTCAAATAGGTAAACCTTTTTATACGTGTCATTTAGGTAATTGATTATTTAATAATATTATACTCTCAATTCTCATGCCAAAAAAAAATACAAAATTTACATATCATAAGATAATTTTTTTTTGATATTAAATTAAATTTTTATATAACCATTTATATATCAATTTAACAAGTAATTTTTGCTCAATTTGTAAGATCGCATTTTAAATATTTAACCCAAAAATAAGTATACCTAAAATAATGTTTTAATGAATTTTTTTTTTACAAATTCCTAATAGTGAAGGCCAACGGTCTGGTCCTAGTGATCTTAGACAGGGACCTAAAGATCTCCAACAAAATTTATGGGGAAAAAATTGAGTTAATAGTGCCTATCACCCCTTCCCCCTACTTCATAGAAAAAATCCTGGATATGCCAGTGAGCGTTACTATAATTCGGAAATTTTTGTAAAAAAATGTTAGGAGGGGGGGGGGAAGGGGGTATAAGAATATATATTAGAATTAAATATTTTTATAATGTTCTTGAGAAGGTGTTTAATTAAGGATAGAAAGAATAATTATCAAATCTTAGGTAAACCATTAGAGATATAGATTAAAGATCTGTGTAGCCTGGCCAGTCCGAAACTTCCCCGCCAAAAAATTTAACAGTCCGGGCCGGATAATTCATACATTAAAAACCGGGTTAGAACTCGAAAATTTTTTGATCTTTCGTAAAATAATCGAGCAGGGCAATACTGATATAAGCTAATATATTATAAATTGATTTTGATTAAAACTATTTGAAAATAAATTTCAATATTATGCCCATTTCTTTACAATTATAAAAACTGTTTAACTAAAATATTAAATCTTATAAATGAAAAAAATAGTAATAAATTCACAATAAAAAATTTAACGTTATAATCACGATTATAATCTAACTAGTTATTTCATAAAACGATTATTATAGAAATAAGATATCCATAGAGTAGAGATTATTAATTGACACTAGGGAAAATGTGCTGGCCAAAAAATTCGTCTAAAAAACACAATCAACTGCACCGAACCGGAAAATTAGTAAGAAAAAAAATATTATCGGGTCTGGGTGGGCAGGACAAACATTTAAATAACGGGCCGGGCTACAAGGACCGAACCCGGTTTTTACGGATCTAAGTTCAAAACAAAAATGCTGATAAGAATGAATAAAGACATATGTTTTTTTAAAAAAATAAGTTGATAAAAGTATTTCAATTGCAATAAAATAAAATTAAAAAATTATATTATATTTATTTATAATCTTGGCTGTTAAATAAGTTAAGTTTTTAAAAGCGATAAAAAAAATATAATGTGACATAATTTTTTTTAAAAAAAGAAAATTGTAAAAGATATTTATTTTTAAAAAGTTAATTGTTGAGAATTATCAAAGCAAAATTTCTAAAGACCTGGCTTTGAGAATGGACGAAGATTCATATATATAAAATCACAAATATATTGAAATAATAATTGCTAATATTAAGATATACGGAGAAGATTTGTCTGAAAACGTAGAAGATTTTGTTTTAAAAAGTAAGAAAAATTTTTAAAAAAATAATTTCGAAAAAAATTTGATATGGTTTAAAAAAGGTGGTAAAAGAATTGTTGATTGGTTAAAATGTGCGCTTGCGTCATTGCCTAAAGGGTGATGAGAACAAATATTCTTTAAAAACGTGGTGCCAGATCGGGATGATGACAAAAATAAGATAAATTTTTTAAAATTTAAAAACGCGCGAAAATCCCCTAAAGCACGATGACGTAATTTAAAAAACGTGTGTGTGCAATGATTTCATAAATTACGGTAAATTCTGATTGATTTTATCATAAGTGTGGAATGGTTGATTTTTTTTTGAAATGGGAAAATTTAGGAAATGGCATTAGATGTGGTGGATCAATAGTTAACGATTTACCAGCTGTCGTAACGGAAGAGAGACTGAAAGTTAAATGGACGATAATAGGTAGTTGGTTCAATTGGGATAGTGGTCATGCCAATGCTGATTAATAAAATTTACATAATTATTTTTTGGTTGTATTTTTGTTTTATACTATAAATTTGAATAAAATATTTCGGATGAATGAGCGAGAGTTGAATTTTAAGATATTTTTTTTTAAAGTTAGGATTTGATGAAATGACCTAGGACATATTGGGCAAAAGATTGGCATCAATTTTTAGTAATTAACAGGGCGTCATTCGAAGCAACACGTAATTGTAAAGGATTAGAATCAATCGGTAATCGTTTATAAGCTGTCGTTAGAAAACCATAAAAGATTGACAATTGATTCAGACATTTTATTCGTCAATAAATTTTACATTTACCTCAATACTTTTTAATCAATAAAACTTAATTTATATTGTTATAAAAATTATCAACAAGAATTCATATTTTGATAACTATATAAATAATTAAGCACATTCATAATTCAGTTCATACAACTCATATAAGTATTAGTCCAACTTTAGTAATTGAGGATAACAGATCATCTATTCCAATCTCACTGTAACCAATCAATCCATTTTTTATTAACATTTTCCAAAGATTGCACAAATTTAATTGAAGTTATCAATCTCAGCTAGAGATATCAAGTATCGTCTAGAATTTTGTTACCAATTTTAGAAAATGTTCTTATACTGCAAATTTTTATTTATATTGTCTAATACTAACAAACGTTTTTAAGTCTTAAATAAAATGTCTACTATGTATTGGCCTAAGCTCTAGTATTAGTGTTTTCAAACTTCACCTCAATATGAGACTTCAAATTTATATCAAATTTCTGAAAATATAACTTGATTCAACAAAATATGAGATTATCATTTTTTTCCTTCTCTATGTCTAATCCATTTTTAAAAAAAACCGAAAATAAAATATTAAGGCATTTTATTGGATTGTATTTTGCAAGTAATTGGTGTTAACTGACTGGAAATACTGATTGACAAATTAGTAAGTATATATCAGGCATTACAATTCTTGTTTTAGCATGATGCCAAGATTTCTAATTTTGAGAATGATGCATATTTCTACCAAACAGGTTGAAGTTTGAAATATTCTAAATTCACAGGGCTGTGTTTAAAGCATGAAATCTATTATTAATATTTATATTATTTTTGGTATTTTGTGAAATTGATTAAAGAATTTATAATCCACTAAATATAAAGAAAGCCAGATAATTTGAGCTTCTATATTATTCATCCTATTAATTCCCTTTTTTTTCACCTAACCTACCAATCAAATTTTAAAGTCAATTCATATTAAGTGCTTGTTATAAGTTTCAGAATCAGTTATTTGTTTAGCTAAAATCTTGCAATTTTAAACAACACCAAACCAAATGGATTAAATTAATATACAATTAAAGTAAGGCATTGATAAAATTTTTAGAATAAAGATCATAAGGTTACATAAAATCTAGTTGGTAATAAAAAAATTGTATATTCATAGGCACTAATAAAGCTAAAAAACATTAGTATACATCTTAGATTTTTGATTCTGATTATTCAGCCAATTTTAAGATGAGGTTTTTTAAAAAGCAAAATTAAAATAATTATTGGGAAATAAAAAAATTATTAAAATATCTTGGTATTTAGTATCAGTGTCATCAAATAGGGAGGGGATAGTCCAGACTAGGCTAGAGTCCTGCTAATAATGTAAATCTTTAGGCACCATTTTTTTTTAAATTAAAGATTAACCACCCATTTGATCCCCAACAAATGATGCCCATTTGGCTTATAACTTTTCTTCAGGTCATAGGTTTACTGAGGGTAGTTTTTGGCCATAATATTTACTGACTAACTTATTGTAAACCTTTGGCTATATTACATTTTTATAAAAATAATTTTGAGTTTTCAGATATTTTTTTTATAAAAATGCTTTTCTTCTAAAAATCTTGAATTATCACTACTTTAAAAAGTTATTAACTTTTATAAATTTTTCTTTCAAATTCCTCATTAGATATATTGTATATATTTTAATGGGGGGAAGGGTGTAAGGGGAACATCTTATTAACTAACATGATGTTTATGAGAACAGGCAAATTTGTGATGAGCCCCCACCCACCTCCCAGTTATGAACTCCCTTTGGGTAGCACTATATTAATTCAAAATATTTTAAATATGCATATTTAAAATATATACATAAGATTAAAAAATCAGTATATTATATATTTTAATTTATTTACAAATAAAATTAAGTGGGTAAAAATTATTAAGCCTAGTTATAAATGTTTTTTTTAATAAATTTTGCAGATTAACAATATTATCTGCAGATAGATTAAAATAATTGCCAATTTGTTTAAAAAAATTTATTTGAGAATATATAATAAATAAAAGCATTTTTACATTTTACAGGTAAGAATATTGAATAAATTTTGTGGCGAAAGTCAGCTGATCTCTCCCAAAAAAAAAGTAGACTAATACGTATATGTGTCATCTATCACTAATTTGTTAAAACAAAACATGACACATCTGATTATATGTAAGAATTAACTAAATTTATTATTTTTCTGATTATTTTAGATATTATTACAAAGTAATAAATTTATTAAAATATTTTTAACATTAAATTCCCCCAAGTAAAAATTCAATTATTACAATAATTATCCGTTAACAATATTTCATAAACTTTGGAACCTTATGTCATCATCTTGGGAACAATATCAGGCCTGACGGAATGACACTTATATGGAACAGTGGGATCCCGTTAATTCTGTAGCTCCTATTCTTTTATTAACTAATATCACTACAACTCCCATTGCTTTTGATACAATCGGTGTTTTGGACCCATAACCAAAGATTTCTTGAAAGCATATGGCCAAAAAAGCGCTTAATTGCTGGTGATCTTCAGAAAGGTTTTACCTACGTCAACAAATTTTAATGAAAATTTGTAGGTCACATAGTAAATCAGTTCACGATGCAAACATAACCTAGAGGCACCTCCACATCATCCCTTTTTTTAATACATTATATTATTTTTTAATATAATATATAGTTTATATCTTTTATTGTAAACTGTATCATTTTTAAAATCAAAATTATTTAATAAAATATTTAAGTATAATTAATTATTATGTTAAAAATTTATATCGAACGCATTATAAAATAACACATTAGGAAGCAAGAAGGGGTTATATTTAATGAAAGATTCTCTCTACGCATGGAAGATCTCTATAAAGGAAAAGATATTATATTTAAATAAGATATATCCAAGTTAGATGAAATATTATTTCAGTTTAATTATATTTGAATTAATTCTATTCACATTATAATATTTTTCTTAACGTTATATTTTATTGTATTTAAATTAACTCTATTTGCGTTATATTTTTTTTCTTACCGTTAAATTGTGTTATTTTGGAATATAAACACACACATTATAATTTATATAGATTGTTGTTATATTTGAATATCGTATATTTTTGTTGGATAAATACAGCGTCTAAGGGGTAGGAACAGTTTGCATCCTATTTTTTTGAGGGGTTAGAGGGTAAGTTGCTAATGGGGGTAGGATAAATATTTTTTGGGGGGTTATCTATTAAATTTTGAGATTAAATAAGAGAAAATTTATTGCTGTAAAAATTAATACTTTATTATAGTATTATTATAATACAATTCATCGACGAAATCTATATATTGCAAACAATCATACACATTGTTTTCCAAATAAACTATCCTTTTAAATATAATTTAAAAGGTTGATATTTCAGCAAGCTCATAATGCCATAATAATTAATTCGTTGTAAATAATGGAGGTTTTAATTAAATTTATTATCTAAAAAATAAATTCTTTATATTCACAAAATATCGATAGTTGGTAGTAGAAATAGATTAATTTAAGTTATCCTTTATAAATTATTTGAAAAGAGTATCAATAAATAAATAGGTGAAAATAATGATAAAGAGACATCGCAGCCGAAGGTGGTGGTACTTTTTTAGGGGGTAGGCAAAGGTTAGTTTAAAATGTATCCCAAATATAAAATGTTCGTTTATAGAGTCTCGTTAATTGATGATATAAAGTGAGTTAATTATTTTTATTATTTTTAGGGGCATCCTCTAGAGAGGGTAGTTTCAAAGTTTCAATGCACAGAAACGTTTAACTTAGCCAATTACAAAGTTTCAATGCACAGAAACGTTTAACTTAGCAGTTCTTATTATTTTAAAACCCAAAGTCTTTATTTTTTTTTACCTTTTTTTTTTATTAATTTCACAACAAGGATTAATATCTCGTCTTTATTATTTTTTTAAAAGAAAGAAGGATTTTACAAAAAAACAATATATAAAAAAAAAATATAATTATAATCATAATATTTTTTAACCTTTTTCAGGTTTTTATATCTCTCAAAAAATGACAAAATTATCATATTGACAAAAATAAATATTAATAAGAAAAATAATATTGCCAAAAAAAATAATAAAATAATATTGATAAAAAAAAATATGCTTAATGACTTGTAATAATTCCAAAAAAAAAATATATATATTTACAACACGCCCCCCATAAAAAAAACATGATAACTAAAAAAAATAACATTACGAGAGGGAAACAGAAAAAAAATATATCAATCGTATTTATTAATCATCATATGATTGGGACATTATTATACTGCTACTTTACGATACATATTATCCCAAAATGGGATTTCAACAATGTTATATATGAATTTCCTATGATTAATTTCGGATATATTAATCATGATATTTAAAAAAAATCGTTAAATAATAATATATATACATAGATATTTCACGGTATTATTACATAGACAAATACATTTCTTTTTAATTTCATATAATATGCCATATAATATCATTCCGCCTCAAACACCTGATCGTAATCTTCCTGGCTCCAGACCCCCTTTTAGTTGGTCCCGATGCCTAATTTTACTCGACTTAATGTATGTCCAATTTTGGCTCCCAACATTATTACCACCGGTTATCATTATCATTATTGATCCTTTTTTTTTTAAAATGTGATTTAATCCCGTAATTGCGTAGGTATTACTATCCTGTGTTAATTATCATTATCGATTTTTTTTAAAAATTAAATTTGATTTAATCCCGGAATTCTTCAGATATCTACCCCCTTTCTTCTCGCCGCGTCATGGCTGGACCTTAACCTTTCAGACTCTACTCTCTTCCGTATCTGTTCTACATGTCTAACTCCTTCCCTTCCGTCGACGAATTTCACTCTCACCATTTTATGCCCCACGTTCTGTATAATTACTCCGGACTCCCATTTTCGGGTACCTCCAAAATTCTCGCCCATATGGTCTGACCAACCACAAATTCACACTGATTATCCATTGAATTCTCCTCCTGTGCCGGTTTGGGCCTTGAACCAACTGAATACGAGTTCTACGGTCCAAAAACTTTTCTGCTGGGGACAATTCCTCTCCCTTTCGACTATTGTTATAGTATGCAACCGCTGTCCAAATCTCTCCACCCCCATATTTCGACTTCCTCAACCAACTCTTTACCACCGCCACCATCCTTTCCGCCTGCCCATTTGAGCTTGGGTGGTAAGGAGGCGCCAAAATGTGTCTCGCCCCAGTTTCAGTACAAAAAACTTTAAATTGTTTATTTATAAAAGCGGGTCCTCCATCCAACACGACTATTTCCGCTACCCCAAATTTTGCCCAAAGATCTTTTAACGTCTTAATTACTACTTGCGTTGTTAACCCCTTTACTTCTTGATACTCTACCCATTTTGAGTAAGCGTCCACCACGAGGAGATATATCTTATTTTCGAAGTCGAAAAAGTCTAAGTGCACTCTTTCCCATGGTTGAGTAGCCCTAGGCCAAATACTTTTCTTGTCCTTTCGAGGCATACTTGCCAATGAATTACACATTTCACAACTTCTCACCATATTCTCGATTTCTTTATTCATGCCAGGCCACCATACGTATTCCCGCCCCCATTGTTTCATTCGTTCCATACCCTGATGTCCAGCATGGATCATTGCCTTTACTGCCTCCCTTAATCTGGACGGCACCACTCCCCGACTTCCTCGTACCACACACTCGTCCACTATCGTTAGCTCTTTCTCCACTTGCTTGAACTTTTTGTCCCCATCTCGCCATTGCTTCCGACCCAATATGCATGCTTTGATTCTCGTCAACTCGCGATCTTTTAAAGTAGCATTTTTGAGTTGTTCCCATGCAACTGGTCCTCCTTTAGATATTCCGACTATCGCTCTAATCAACCCGTGCTCATCCTCTTCATCCATATCTTTCGACCTACTCGTTTCGCAATCCTCTCCCGCTCCACATCTAGAAAGAATATCCGGTAAGTAATTTTCTCTTCCTCGCCGGTATTTCACTTGCACGTCGAAACTGCCTACCAGCAATAGCCATTGTTGCAACCTAGGCGACAACATGAGCTCCTTGTTGTCCTTCCTGAAAAGATGAACCAAGGGCTTGTGATCCGTATATATGACAAATCGACGTCCGATCAAGTATTCCCGACATTTAGTCAATCCAAATATAACCGCTAGCGCTTCTTGCTCGATCACTGAATATCTTGTCTCGGTCTCTCTAAAGATTCTTGAGAAAAATAAAGTAGGTCTCTCCAATTCGTCTATACAATGTAATAGCGCTCCACCCACACCCCTATTCGAAGCGTCAACGGCCAATATCACTGGCACATCGTTATCAAAACACACTAGTACTGGTTCCCTTCCAATCCTCAATTTCAACTCCTAAAAAGCCTCCTCCTGTTCAAACTTCCATTCAAATCTTTCTCCTTTCTTTAACAATTTATACAACGGCGCCGCTATCTGCGCGAAACCTTCCACAAAACGGTGATAATAATTCACCATTCCCAAGAAAGCTTGTACTTCCACTTTATTATTAGGCTTCAACATGCTTGTTATATTTGCCATATTTTTGTCTAAAGGTCTGACCTCTTTCCCATTGATTTTATGCCCCAAATATACGATTTTTGAAACTCCCAGCACACTTTTTTCAACGCTTGCCCGCAATCCTTTATCTTTGATCCTTTTGAACACCTCCTCCAATCTTCGTTTGTGTTGCTCGGGAGTCTTTTCCATCACTAATACGTCATCCATGTAGTAAAATACTCCCTCTAGTCCTTGAAAAACTGCCGCCATCGTTCGTTGGAAAATTGGAGCCGACACGCTAAGTCCAAATGGCAATCTACAGAAGGCATACAATCCCTTCGGAGTCGTGATCGTTAATAGCTTTTGTACCTCGGGTTTCACCTTCGATTGTAAGTAAGCGTTCGAAAAGTCCACCTTTGAAAAATATATGCTACCCTTCAAATTAGCTAATATTTCTTCAATCCGAGGTAACGGATATTTTATCTCCACAACCCACGGGTTTAGCGTGACCCGAAAATCAGCGCATAAACGAAGCTTTCCATTGGCCTTCTTCACGGGTACTAACGGTGTTGCCCATTCGCTATATTCCACTGGACAAAC